CCCGCGGCTTTTCCCATGACGTTTTCCCAGGGAGAAGCGTTTTCTCGAGGCACCCAAGAAGTACGCCAACTGTAATCTGGCACTGGTCCCGCGATCTGGCTTCCAGCAATACGCGAAAGGGGGGCCGGTGCACGCACACTTGACCCGCCGACGCTTAATTACGATTGTCTGGCATCGGGTGGTAGCGTGGCCGGGCGAACCGGAGCGAGCCTCCATACGCTCATTAAGATAGCAGTCGGTCTTAAGCGGTGTCCCTTAATCTGCCCGAAGGGATCATCCTTTTTAAGGTATAATTATGCAGCCCGGGGACGTCGGGGCCCGTCGTGGCCTCGCCTCCCGGCTCGACTCGTTTTGTACCTGGCAGCCAGAGCAAAGACTCGAATCCACTGGCGTCAAACCGCTGAACGTTTCTATCTGTCAGCGGACTCTCCCTCGCCGGCCTTTTTTCTATCCGCCGGTGCATTTGTTTTTATATCAAACAACCGAGCGACCCGGAGCCGCGGCGGAATCTTAATTAGAACGTCCGAGGCGTCTCCGGGACGAGACAACCCGATGTCTCTATCCGGAGACGTTCGTCCGAACTGCCACTTATACGTCCTCTTCTGCCTCTGGCTCACGGTCTAGCACCGGCTTTTTTATCTAGGGGCTCTAAGCGCCAGTTTCGATCGTCCATCGAGCTCTGTATGGGATGGCACGGCGATGCCTCGTCCGAGTGTCTTCGAAATGTCTAGCCGGAGCATAGTCTGGTCTCTGTTTCTGACTTCTATAACCTGACTGGAGTAAGCTAGCTTTTAGGAACATTCTAACCGAGGCTGCTAAACGCTAATATAGACTGAACAGCAAGTTCCCTAAGAGTTCGAACGACAGAGTTGGCCCCAAAAATTAGACTAATCAATGATGAACGATTACGTCGGTTGTTACGACTGATTTATAATAATTGGGCAAAGAGAAATAATAATCAACGTGACGAGAAATTAGGTGTAACAGTTAACGAATAATAATCATTAATCGGATTTCTTTTCACTCGATTCTGCTGGATAAGTCGGTATAGTAATGTCTCTCTAATTGACGCCTAGATTGTCCACAGAAATGGAAAATTTGGGAAGAGGAGATACGATTATTCGAGCCTTGCAGTTAATTTTTATAATTACGAATTGTCCACTTTTGTGCACAATCTAAGCGTCAATTAGAGAGACATTACTGTGTATCGCAGTTTGGGACAGGTGACCTCGAAGTTCCTAGCTAGAATCTATCATAATCTCGGTCTCTGGCTGCTACGGAACAAGCTAGCCTTCAGGAACATTTCACGTGATGCTCCTAAAAACATTAATCTAAATTGAACTGTACGTCCCCCGAGAGGTTTCTGTCGGTTTCTAGGATGCTACAATGTGGCCTGTGTCTGGAATCTTGGACGTTCCTAGCCAGAGGACACCAAAAGTCCACGTCTCCGGATGCTGTATCTCCAGGAACGACCGAGCTAGTCTTGAGGAATATTTTATCTGCGCTTCGAAACACTAATTTAGATCGAGTTGCATGTCCCTCGAGGTCACTATCGCTGTCTAAGACGGTAAAACGCAGCCCGAGTTAAGTATCTTCGAGGTGTCTAGCCAGAGGATACGAAAGTCTACGTCTGCGACCGCGGCAGAGCGAGCAAAGCCGTTAGGGACATTTTATCTGAGGCTTCTAAACACCAATTTAGGTTTAACCGCGTGTCCCTTGAGGTCTCAATCACCGGTCGACAGAGCTCCGGAGGCGATCTCCTTCGATGCTTCCAGCCCGAAGGCTTTGGCGAAGCCAAGTCGTCTCCGGTTGCTACAAACTAGCCGCTCTCCAAGAACTTGTTATTTAAGGTGTATACATGATAGTTTAGAGTGAACTACGGTGTTTCCTAAGGTCTCTATCGTTGGGCGAGGCCGCGCGATACGCGCTCTCAAAAGCCCACGGCCGCTGAAATATTAATCCGAGTTGAGCCGAGCATCCTGATCTCCTATAACTCGTTATTAGAGTCCAGCGCGGCTTAGATCGAGTTTTCTATCTTTAGCGACCGAAGCTCAGACGGAGTTACGCATTCTCAAAGGTCTCTAACACCGACCGCCGAGATTTCCATCTAATTGGAGCCTAGACCAGATTAGAGCCCGTATATCCTCGAACGATCTTACTCCCAGCTGCCCGGGATCTAAATCAGGTTGCTTCTAGCTTGAAACCGATCCTGCGGATTTTCTGCATTCACGAGAGAAATTAGTACGTGTATGACGATAAAAGCGAACGTGTTCTATTTAACTCGTGTTTCTCGCGGTCGACGGAGTGAACGTTTCCTCTTCTTAAATGCCTCGTCGTATCCCCCCCCCTCTTCCTAAATTGTCCATTTTCGTTTGCAAGCCGAGGAATAATTACAGAGTATTTGCTGTGCTCGCGTTCATTTGTCGACTAAAAGAGGCTCGATTATCGACAAGAAATTAGTTTTCACGCGGAAAGACAGCGTGTGCCCGATACGGTTCTCATAGTCTTATCGAGCTCTTATCGAACGTCGTCCGTTGTTTACGAGATGCTCCGATGATTCGCGTGTCGTCGACCAAATTCTCGAATTACTCGACAAAGAACGATGCTCCCCCGGTGATCCCCCCGTTAATCGTGCGTAATATATCATCCGTGCGAATGCGCGCAGACGACTGTTTCATTAGAAGGATTAGCCGTCGAAACGGAAAAACAACTGGCGAGAACAGACAGTATCCGATTATTGTCTTCGATACAGAGTAATCTCGTGGCTAATTGGAATTCGATGCACTTGACGCGGTATTTATCTGAATGACGACACGACGCGTTCGATTGCCGTGACACACGAATGACTGATCCAAATAATAAACTAGATCTTCGTGTTCGATAGCTCCTGAAGCGAACAAAGTCGATTTTAGAGTTTAACGATTTGATTTAGGATTAGAGCGTCGATTAGAGCGAAAAGAGAAATTTTGTCTCAGCTGGCTAGGTAAAAATATGTTTCTCGTTCTGCGATCATTTTACGAGAGAGAACAAATAAATAGACGGAACAAATTTTAGCATTGAAATCTTACATCAGGGGTGTCAAACTCGCGGCCCGCGGGCCGCATGCGGTCCGAGATGAACATTTTTGATGTCAAGTATCAGGACGTGTGCAATAATTTAACTTTATATATGTTTATTACAATGTACTAGTCAAAATAAAAATATTTGTTTCTATGAACATTGATTCTTTTTGCGGCCCACCTAAAGTTAAGCATTGTTTATTTGGCCCAAGTTAGCTTTTGAGTTTGACACCCTTGTCTTATATGAATTTCGAATCGCTATAAAATTGTACGTAAAACTGTACTGTAAAATTCGTATTAAACGCGACTAGAACGCAGACGCGTGCTCTAATCTTCGTCGTCGGCCGAGGAAAAGTGTTCCAGCGGTTGTAAATTATATTGCAAAAAGTAGACACGCTTTTGATCCCACGGTAAGAAAACAAAGTACACGTGTTTCAGTGTCATTCTAGAATTAATGCGAAGCTATTTAAGCCCGGCGATACCGACGAGAAATTCTAGCAAGCTGACTGGGAAATCGGTTTCTCGTTTTGCAACGAGAAAAACGCATTCCCGATTCCAATATCTAGTTTCCGGTTTGCACAATCGCTCGGTGATATCCAACGGGTATTGTGATACGCCGATCGCGGCTCTTAATCCTCTCGAATTCGAGACCGACACATCGTCGGCTAGGTCTCGGGAGGCAAGAAAATGATTTCATCAGAGCGACGACTTGTTCGTCGGAGCCCCTTGTTCCGGGACGGAAAAAACGGTGAAAGGGTTCGGCAGTATCGAGTTCCCGCTTTGTAGAGATTAATACCAGCCGGTAGATCGGCGAAAAGCGGACTCCTCTGGATCAGATCGTCGTCGGATTAAGAATCCAAGATACGATCTGACCGCGTCGGATATCGGAGTAATACGAGACCGACGCGCGCATCGTCGAATTCTATTACCCTTTCGAGCACACCCCCTTCGCCTCTGGAACTCGGTTGAGATATAGCACGTGCCCCGACGAATTAATCTCTGGCACAGGATGATAGCAGAATTATAGTGGAAATTAACTTCACCGCGTGCCAGCAGGATAAGAAAATCATTCTCAGGAGATTTTTTATTTTACTCGAATATTCTCGGATTATTTTTCTTTTCGTGGAGTCAGACAATGTTTTTAACAACGCGTAACGCTATGTTTGTCTAAGAATTTCGTGAAAATTGACTGCAATTGTTTTCGATTCGTAATTCAACCCTTATCTGCGAACACATCCGAATTTATTGCAACTATTTGCTAAAATAAATTACTAAAGAAAATGAGAACATTTTTGGATAAAAATTGGTCAACTTTGACCGAAGACAATTCCGTGAAAAATCATCGTAGGATGATGATCTTCTTTCGAGATTGAAGCTTGAAACCTCTACTTTTCGATGATGTTTCCCGATTTTAAGTTCAACGCACCCCCATCAAGGGAACTCTTTAAATGTGACGAGCGTTATAGCGTACAGGCAACTCCATCGGGGTCAAAGAGATCCTAATTTTTCAGCGAGGAATTTTGCGCGGCGAATATTATTCGAGGCGGATCGTTAAAAATAACTGTTTACGCTAAAATGGGGGGCAGCACAGCGAAGTTTTCGCGGCGAGTCGAGGAAGCAATTCGTTCCTCGCGGCTGTTGATGTTTGCGCGAGATGAAAGAGTTGCGTGCAGAAGTCCCGAATATTTTTGGAGGGTTGTTTACGCGGTTGGATACTCCGACGGACCGCGGACGATGTCCCTGAACGCTATTTCCACGTAGCCATTCTCTGAACCCGCCTTTCCTCTTCGGAACCCCGTCTTTCTCGCGAATAGTTCGCGCGGCTTTGAAAACTCGACGCGGCGGGACACAAATCGTTCGACACAAAATTTCTGTCAAATTATACGAGCCGATTAGACTTATTGCCAGTTTTCACCGATTAAAGATTTTGTGAAGATTTTGTCAATTTACGTAGACCTAAATTTATTATTAGACTATCTGTAAAAAAAGTCTGGAAGGTTGGACTGCTATGTGACTACGAAATGATGACTTAAACTACCCTTAATTTGGCACGAACTATATCATGTTTGAATTTCATCAAAATCCCTTGTAGCATTACCAGAATCCAGATGGTTGAACACATAACTGGTTCCCTATGCGGAATATATCTAAAAAGAAACTGTCATTAGTTAAAACAATTTAACTGAGCAAAACGATGACTTAAACTACTCCTAATTTAACAAGGACTATATCATACTTGAATTTCATCAAAATCCCTTGTACCATTACCAGAATCCAGATGATTGAACACGTAATTGATCCCCTATGCGGAATATATCTAAAAAGAAATTGTCATAGGTTAAAACAATTGAACTGAGCGAAACGATGACTTAAACTACCCCTAATTTGGCATGAACTATATCATGTTCAAATTTCCTCAAGATCCCTCGTCTACTACACATAATCCGCTTCCCAGAAGGTCTAATTGCTCCCGAATTCCAGTCGCTTTTGAAACAACGATTTTGATCGCACAAAAAATTGAAAACGAGCGAAACGATGACTCGAACTGCCCCTAATTTGTCACAAACTGCCTCATGCTCGAGCCCCATTAAAGTCCCTTGCCTCGCGTCCGGAATCGGGACCACCGAAGTGACCAGTCCGCGTAAATGGTCCCCCAGTTCAGAGTATATTTAAAACGACGATTCTCATCGGCGAAACGAGTGGCACGGAGGTGCCATAATTTCTGTGGAACATCTTGTTTGGACGGTGATTCGCGGTCCGCGACCACCGGACTCGGTTCACGGTGCGTTTGAAGAGATTAACGCCGGTGCTCTCGGACGGAGCCGGACGGAGCACCGCGACCAGATTAAACCGACCGACCATTCGTCACGCAGCGTCGACGAAAATGGACTCGTCGTTCGACGCGTGGCTGGACGATGCCCGGCCATCGGTTCTCATTACTTCGAGGAAATGTCATCGCGCGGAACGCGCCCCTTCTTCGCTGATTAATGAGAGATTTAATGGCGCTAACTCACCGAATTGCACGCAGACCCCCGGACCTCCTCGGCGATCCAGATTGCAGTCCGTTCCCTGGATCCGGAGAAGTTTGTCGCCACCGTCCTCTGTAAGACCAATTAAAAACGATTAATTGTGCACCCGGCTCTCGACCGATTTAATTGATCATTATTTTCGAAAATGTTTTTCGAGAGATTCTGAACTCCAGAGGTTTGGCAGTAATCGATTAATCAATTAATCGGATTAATTTTTGCCCAACTCTGCGATACATTTTTTAACACTCTCATATCGTATTTTTCCGCATGAACGCATGATATATTTATGCAAAATTTATTGTACCTTGAAGATTAATAGATCTTAATAGATTATCTTAATAGATTAAAAATAGCCACGACGACGCAATCTAATAAATGATCGACGTTTTAAAATGTTTCTCATTTTTACATTATTTCATATTTCAATTACCCCATTTTTTCCATAAATGCATAAAATCCGCAGCCTACACAAGTAAGTTTCATTGTGTCGTAATTATAAATTGTTTCATTGTGTCCTAACACTGTAATTAATTAGTATTCGATTCTAAAATCGCATCGAACATTCAATAGCAAGAATTTCGGTGAATCGAAGAACTGTAAAAATCGACGATAACAGTCGCGAACGAGCGAGCCGAAAATGAACGAAACACAGCGCGGCCAGTTGGTGCAATGACTAATTAAAAAGTTTACACGACGGACATCGGGCGGACAGCCGGTCTCGGTGTAAACACGCTGTAAACTCGTCCGCGTACATTTCGAATAGAAAAGTCCCGCGTCGGGCGCGCGTTGAGCTCGAGTTGATTAATTCGCGGGTTTGTTTTCGCTTCATTAAAATAGTTGCCAAGGTGCGCTGGTCAGACTCCGTGTCTAACGAAATGCTATGCCGTTTCTAAACATAGCGCTGAGTGCCTGGAAATCGCGGCGGATCGCGTAAACTCCACCGATTTTGATTGTTTCTTTTACACTTCGGGCCAGAGGTCTGCGTAGCATTCGCTTTGCCGTAATATTGTGGAGCGTGCATCAGTTTTTGGCAGCGTAACTCGCGCTATAAAAATAATATGTATATCGGTGCTTCAACGGTTCCCACGAAATAGAAATCCCTTCGACGCCGATCTCGGTGCACGAAATTCGCTCGGATTTTAGAAACGTTTCTTCAAGTTCGATTCGGTCCGATCGCCGAACAATTACGTGTTGTTTATTCTGGTCGGGTGGACGGTGAACACGTGTGCCATTATTGTTAGGCCACCGGTCCCGCGAGTCGAAATCATTTTGGCACGCTTTCCGAGCAATCCATCTTCCGTGCTTCTACACCTGCAACTATCCTTCGTTTCTACCTTCCAAATTATCACCGTGGATCCTCCTATTTTTTTTATTCTGCGATTATACAAATCGTACAAATAAACATTAGAGTTTTGTACATTAATTACAAACAGGATGTTCCACAATTATATTAACACCCGGAAAGGGCTGATTCCTGAGGTGATTTGAAGTAACTTTTTCCTCAGCGAAAATGCAATCCGTGGCTTTGTTTACGAGTTATTAACGAAGAACACTGGCCAATGGAACGCCAGCTCAGTCTGACTTGGCCCCACCTAGCGCTAGGCGTGCTCGCGTCTCATTGGTCGGTGTTTTTCGTTAATAACTCGTAAACGAAGCCGCGGATTGCATTTCCGCTAAGGAAAAAGTTACTTCAAATCACCTCAGGAATCACCCTTCCCGGGTATTAACATAACTATAAAATTATTATACGATAATTAATATTACAATTAGTATTAAATATGATCGTACGTTCGACAAGTCTCAAGCCAATAAATATAAAATAAGTTCGTCGCTTCCCACGATTATACAACGTGAACGCCAAGTAGTATAATTAACAACTTGAGTCTAAGCGAAACTTTTCGTCGAAGCTGGAAGGGATCTTGCCCCCAAGCGATCCAGGCGTGTGATCTCGATCGATTTTCGACGGTGCGCCCGATTCTAAATCGGACCGGCTCTCGCGCCGCCGCGGAAAATATTTTGAGAACCGGTCACGACCGCCGCTCGCGACCGCCTCGCGGAAGCCTCGCTCGCCGCTCGCGCGAAAACTTTGAAATTAATTTACGAGCGGCGCGTGCTATTCCCGACAAGCCCCGGCCCGAGAACACATCGCGCCGGGCCTTTTTCCGACGATCGCCGGAGATTTATTGGACGGGATTAATGCCCCGAGCCTCGGAGCCCGTGTATCCGTTAGCCAGCGACACAATATTATCGACAGCTTTCTCACACGGCGGAGTCTCGGACCGGCGTGTCGCTGCGAATAGAATTCGAGACAGGGCCAGGAGCGTGCTTCTGGATACGGTGAAAACCGGCGTTCATAAATTACGCGTAGCGAACGACTATCTAAAGCAACGCGCGGCTCCCGCGGAGGATTAATTGGACTGGTCGACGACGACCGTCTACTTTTCTAGTTCTCCGTTTCGCGTAAATCATTATCGCGCGCCTCGCTGTATCCGCCGGCTACCAGGCAGAACGCGGCCCCGGTTCTAAACACTCTCCGGAGACATTTCAAACGACTCGGTGAAAAGAACTGTTCGATTCGGTTTTATTTTTCGCATGTCCCAACAGCAGGTGGCTTACTTAATTCTATCGATAATTATTCTAGACATTTTCTATCGCGCTCGTTAACGTGTCCGATTTTATTGCCTCGGCGCACATTTGTATGCCTCGGATGTAAATCAGTCTGTAATTAGCCGTGACAGCGGTTGCATTGTAGAACTGTATGTCCAGCTATAGGTCAGCAGGAATATGGATCAATGAGTCAGGGATTCATTCTCAGCGTGACAATGATGATTGGAGTCAGCGAATGTTACAGGCGATGCTTTTATGCATCGATGATGCACCTTGGAAGAAGAAGAAGAAAAGCACTGTCTCAAAGAATTTATGCCAAAGTTTTCTTTGAACTGATAGAAAGCCACTTCGAACTAAATATCGAAGACAAAGATGAACACATTATGCCTGCGGTATTAGCAAAGATATTAAAGGGGATAATGACGCAACACGTTTCTTAAAATATCGTTGAAAGAAATACATACGTCGGAGAAAATAGAAAAATTAAATTTGAAAAACGCTCCGACCGAAAAGCTGCGTCACTTGGCAGTCGAGACATGGAGGAACGGTCCCTCTATTGGAACGATCCAACGAAGCCTAATTCGAATTCGAATTTTGGTCCCGCGTAAACAGGTAGCCCTTTGATCCCGGTCGACAAAGAGAAAACAGGAGGAGAGTCGACGGGTCGCAGAGAATAGCGACGGTGAAAAGGTGCGCGTTTGTCCGGAGACACGAGCAAATAAACGACCGGCGCAGCTCGGTCGCGTTGTCAAACGAGGGAGACTCGCGCTCATGCTACCATTAGCTAATGGCCGACGCTCCCCCGAACGAATCGAGCCAGCATTCTCGTTGCCTGTCTCGGCTATTTGCTTTTTGGAACGGAATATGTGCTCTCATCCTGCCATCGTTCGTCGTTGCCCACGGAAATAGAGGAACAAAAATGTCTTCCAAGAGGTCGAGCGCTTTAAAATTTCTACAGTACTTTTCACCGTAAAAATCGAGCTGCACGCACGAAGATAATGTGGAATATCGTCCGAGAGACGCGTAAAAAAGTACACTCGTTGTTCAGCACGCAGACAGAGTTGTGCATCATTTAACTACATGACCTACATTGCATCCTTCGAAGAAATGAGATTAACAATGAATTGAGATGCGAAATCGAGCGTGGCAATTGAGATATCGAGTTCTAATAAAGAAAACGACGTTCTACGATGTTCAAATGATATTCTCAAATTTTTGGATCCCAATGGTATCATTAGTTTTTGAGCGACAATTGTTCGAAAATCGTATGACGTATACGTGCTTCGTACAGGTGGTGTGATAGCGGAGAGTTCAATAAAAAAATTATTCGTCGTTTGGCAGTTTAAATAGAAGACAGAAATATGTACTTGTTAGTTAGAAAGATCTAGAATGAATCGAAACGTGTAAAATGAATGTACGTATTACAAAAGCGATGCACGAAAACGTAATTTCGATGAACATGTAGAAATCGTTGAACATCAAATTTTTCCTAACTATGTACTTCGGCTAGCAACGTTAACAGCGTTGGTCTACGAAGACGATCGTCTACCGGAAGACACGGACCGCATCCGTTGTCCGATTTCGAATCGGTATCTGCTGACGATAGTAGTCGTTCGATGAGCCTGGCGAGCGTACGAAGCTGGCACGTGACGCAGCCGCGTGTCCGAAAAAAGAAGCGTGAACGGAACTCGCGGCGAAAGACAATAAACTCGATCGACGGAAGTCGGGAGCAGCACTCCGGGACAATCGGTCATTTGTGCGGGCTGCTAAGGATGTTTAAAGACCGGATTAAGAGACCGTCCGTGGAAGATCTGGGGAGACCGATGTGGAAATTAAAGCGGCCGAGGACTCTCGGGGAACACCGAGACACCAGGAAATCGTGGGCGAGATGGAATTCAGTCGTCTGTGTCCGATTAGATGATAAACACGCGTCTCTGTCCGTTAATTACACGAAACGGAGAGTTCTAGACGATATGGAAATGATGCTCGCCGACGCGCCGGTTTAATCCGCCTCGCGAAAGCGAACGAACGGAGTCTATTTCACAGTTTATAAAGCTCGCTCTATAATTTAATATTTGATTGCTTGATTCATTGGTGCAGCGTTTTCAATGATACTCGGCTCTGGATAGCCTGCGATTATGCAGAACAGCGAATTTGTAACGCCTAACGTTGATGCATGCGATATTTCAGAATGAAGTATTAATCGTGCTTCCTCGACAATAACCATTTGTTACCGTCGGTAAGCCTCACTGCCTTGAATCGTCTGCAACGAATTCATCTGCAGTCGAGAATCGTCTGTGTTATAAGTAGACTGCGGATTTTATGCGTTCATTAATTCTAAAAGAATCTTAAGTACGTTGTTACATTGTTATCGCCATTCCGGAACTGTTTAACACTAAACGTACCGAGATCTAAAGTGCCCTGCATGTGTCGCCTTCCACAAATGACCAAATTGAATTTATTTAAATTTCTCTCAGTTTTTACAACGATATCCAATGGAAGCTACTTCATAATTTCAGTATATTTAAAATAAAATATATGAATCATTCTCGACCTACGGTGGTACGTTTACTGTTAAAAGAAAAGACAGTTTTATTTGTCTTCTGTTTTATACAAAGTTTCTATTTTGCACGAAGCACCGCGATCTAGTCGTAAATCGACAAACGGAAATCCAATTCGCGAATCGGAAATGTGAACGCGCGAATTCCGTTTCTATAACTGTGCTACTTGACCCGCGTGGATTATGCCGTTTTCTACGAAGAAAAAACGTCGGACCTGGCTCGCAAGGCTTACCAAACTGCAACCGGTGCGCAAACCATGAGCAGACCGGAGAGAACACCCTCGACAGGCTTCTAAATTTAGTCTGACGCGTTCTGACGACGAGGAAGACGCGAATCGACGTCGACAGGAGGGGCCCGAGGGGGTCGAGACGATTCCAGATGGAACGTCGGAAGGGACAGTGTCGCGATTCGCTTCTGGCCGGAGGCCAAACGGCGACACCTCGATGCCGAATTCATGAATGGACCAGGAAAATGAGTTTCCATGGCCAGGCGAGCTCGATTTTCGTTGAGACCGGCCGGCCACGCTTTCGGTGTCGAGCTCTCTTCGTCTCGCGACATCCTTCTTCGCCTGGTCCTCAGGGTCAAGTTGGGTTCTTCGGCGAACCTTTCGTTCACCAATTTCTGCCAACAGATATATATATTCATATATATATATATATATATATATATATGTCAACTAATACGTAAACGATTCTGTTTATATATATATATATAAGTTTTTATGTCTTATAGTCCCCACAGAGTTGGGCAAAATTGTATTCAACACCATCGAATAAATATTGAATCGAATACAAATTTATCTAAATAAAACTGTATTCGAATAAAATTTCATTCGCGACACTTTCGAATAAATATTCAATCGAATGAAAATTCATCTAGACAAACATTTGTTCGAATAAAATTTTATTCGAATTTATTCGTACAGGAATTCATACGAAAATTAATTGATTTGGATAAAAATGCAAGAATATAAAGCGTTTTTTTAGAGAGTAAGAGTAATAGTAATATTTTTTAAAGGGTAATAGGGAAGAACAAAAAACTTAAGAGTTTATCGTAAAAGGGTATAACGTCCAGTTGAATGGGCAGATTGAATCGGTGATCGTTGCTGGAATGTAATTATGCTGAAATAATTACTGGCAGATGCACGGGCTGGGAGGTCCGATAGCTTTCGATAGTGGAAAAAAAGGGCCGAGTTTCTCACTCCGCCGGTTTTTCAATTCGACGTTGAATAAAACACAGACGTTTTCTTTGCGAGGATTTCAGGGTGTATCGCAACAACGATTCGCGGAAGAATCGAATTAGAAGAGGCGGACGTCTGCCAAGCGGCGGCCAGTTCAGTTTATCTTCGTAACGTCAGATACAGTCGTTAGTTCCTGGGCAGGCCTTTCCTTTTTATCGTTCAACATAATTGGACGTCTACACGTTTTCCCGATATCGCAGGGTCTGCTCACCTTTCAGATACAGTCGGTGCACAAAGTGTTCGTACACCGTTTAAAATGAGCCTTGGTATCTTGGAAACTGCTACGATCTAAATCTTTTAGCGACAGGCTTAGGTTCTCTCGGCTTGTGTTCCCAATGAATTTTTATGCTTCTGCCAGCAATGCTCGATCCTATCTTTCACTGTGTTCACTATTCTCCCTCGGCCTATCATACAATCTCACGGGAATAATGGTAATTCTAATTTCAGATCTCGAGCATCCTGAGATGGTGGTGGTGTCGCTCGGCGAGAAGCTGATCCTGCGATGTTCGATGAGCGGGGAAACGACCTGGTACAAGGATAACAAAATATTCCGGCCACCGTCGCCGAGGGTACGGCTGATGAAGCAGTCCTTGAAATTCAAGAATATCGAACCCGAAGACGCGAGCTCGTACGCTTGCCTGGTCGAATCGAACGCGACGGCCGAATGGCGGAACGTGACGATACGAATCGAGCAGTTGCAGAACGACGGCTACCAGCGCGACGTCGACAAACTGGGCACCATCATGGGAGCCCGTCGAGCCGAGAAGGAAACGAACGAGCTGGAAAACGAAGCGAGAAGTGAGCTCCTTTTTTCGAACCATTAAAGATCTAACGGGAAAACGTAAATTATCCGGTCCGGGCTTCGAAGCAAAGAATTTCATAATTTGTGACTTGTCCGCAAACTCAATTATGGTCATCAGCTTGCATCGGTTATTTTTCTTACTGGCGACTTCTCAAGACCACCACCGTCTAAATGCATGTCATGAGTAAATTAATCGAGTGATCCAATCGCTCGAGCTCCATCAACATGCAATTGAACTTCTCCATAATCTTGATCAAAGATCAATCTCGCGATTTACTAATATAGAAGTCCTCGATCAGCAATCTGTTCAAACTATTCTTCTAACTATCCAGTTCTCGCGGTTATCTCTTCAAGTTTTTCGTAATCTGTATTCAGGATCTGGCCGAATGTTTCCTTCGATATTGACATTAGCTATCGGCTTCTTATCAGATCTTCCAGAGACCAGGTCGTTGCACTTGGAAAGCGACAACGTGGACAGCGACCTTGAGAACGAAACCGCAGGCGAGCGCAATAACACCGTCCCGGAACGCGCACCGTCGTTCAACAAGAACGTGGAGATGCCGAACATGGTGGTGAAACCAGCCGGCAACATGGTTCGCCTGAGGTGTCCCAGTTTCGGCAACCCTAGACCCAACATCACCTGGTACAAGAACAACGAGATACCGAAGCGAACCTTGGGCACCGTTGTCATCACCAAGTGGACCTTTAGGCTAGAGGACCTGGTCCCTGAGGACAGCGGGAATTACACCTGCGTGGTTTGCAACATCCTCGGCTGCATCAATCGGACTTCGAAGGTCGACATTGTCGGTGAGCAGAGCCATCTTTCGTTGCGCCACGATGTATCAGTGCTGTCCACGAAAATGAAGCTGTTTAGGTCGATGTCTTAGTAAAGAATAGTTCAGACAGTTTGGACAGCACTGCGACATATCGATGCCACAATTTAGAGGATACGATGTCTAGGAGATAGCTAGGTTGCAACGTGTGTGAAACATTGTCGCGCTTGCGACGATGTTGGTTGAAGTTTATTTGGTTCACCGCTTGATCTGCAAGTCCTTCGAAGACTATGATCGTTTATGATTCGCGAACGGAACGTTCCAACTTCAGCAATAACTTCGGCAACCAAAGAAACACCACCACCAGCATGCATTGCAACCTAATCTAGGTTCCGTGATCGGGTCCGCTAACCGTTGACCGCATCTGTAGAGCGTTTTCCGCACAAGCCGTACATCAACGAGGATTTCCCAAAGAACGTGACGGCGGTGGTGAACAGCACGGTGACCTTCAAGTGTCCGATCGTGTCCGATCTCGAGCCGTATATACAATGGCTGAGAGTGGCCGAGTACCCGGGCGACCAAGAGAATTTGCCGAAAGGGATTCGGCTGGAGGTACAGGCGACTTGTAAACCGTTCATTGGTGGAGGTTCTTGCCTGTATCCTCGTCAAGTTCGCCGCGCCCTTGCGACCAACTCGCGAAAACACTCTATTATAATCGTGGACAAATACAGCACGGGGATTTCCGGTTGGCGCTTCTCTGTTGCACTCCGAAACATCTCTTAGTGACTAACCATCATGGTGGAGGAGCTGTACGATCTTTCTTTTGTACCATAATTTCCAGGTGGACTGTCGGCGGCTCTGTGACCACCATCGATCTTGTACATTCTGTTTCGATAACGACGTCGTTTCCCGTTGGAGCTACCAATCGATTTCGATCCTTGATCCAAAGTTTCAAGCAAAGATGAATGATGTATCGCCTCGGAATCCTCGATGCAACTATCTCCGAGGATCCCGTGACACCGTTTGCTTGGTAGCTTCAACGTCGACGGTTCTTCTAGTAATCCTCTAAGGTGCAGGCCTGTCTTTACAATGTGTTAGACGTTCGTCGAGATCGAATTCATCGAATCGGTTCAAGGCTCTCGGGGCCAATGAATGAATTCGCTCCCGAAGGACTCGTTTTTTCCCAACTTTCTCTTCTTGTCACGATTCTCGAGCTTCGGTAAAACCGGTGGTTGGGTCTATTTTTTCCTGTAGAGAGCGTGAAACACCGGCCGATACTGACGACGGCGCCGAGAAACACGACCGTCCAGATCGGCAACAACACGACGATGGTCTGCAAGGTCCTCTCCGACGCGCACCGTCACCTAGAATGGTATCACGGTTATCACACTTCTTTCGACACTGTGAACAAAACCAATCAAAGTATCCGGGTGGAGGTCAAGGTGGGCACGTAGAGAACTATACGCATGATATACCGCTTCAGCCCCTATCTGCGCATCATCCTCTGTTGTCGAGATTAATCTGTCTGTCTCCCTAACAACCGTCACGATCTCCCGACTAATTCTCCATCGAATCTCTGTTGAACGAAACTGATCGAAACTGTTCGTTAGTTCGTGAAATGTCTCTCGTCGCGATGTAAATGTCCTCGAGCTTCCTAGTAGACTGCTAACTATTCTTCCGTTCGAATGTGGTTCGATCTTGATCCTCGGAGGAGCCTGCAATAATTTCGAATGAAACGTTGTGTCTTTAGGACCTACACTATGCGGAGAACCCGGAGGTGCTGAAGCTGTACAACGTGACCGAGAAAGACGAAGGCTGGTACACCTGCATCGCTCAGAACACGCTGGGCGAGACCTTCAGCAGCGCCTATCTCAGGGTAGTCGAATGTGAGCGATCAAATACTTTCGAAAATCTTGTATCCGTTCCCATCGGACGAACGACTATATCCGATCGTGTTCTTCCAGCTCTCGAAGATCACCGGGAGCCAATCCCGGCGAAGCCGCAGATCCTCGTGAACATCCTGGCAGCGGTGCTGTTCATCTTCTTCGCGGTGGGCGTCGTGGTGGTGATCTACATCTTCCATCGCTTGAAGCGCGAGAAGATGAAGAAACTGCTGGCGATCGAAACAGCCAGAGCCGCGGTGGTCACCCAATGGACAAAGAAAGTGATCGTGGAGAAGCAGAACCTGGTGAACGCGCAGAACGTTCAGGAGCCGTTGCTGATGCCGGTGGTGAAGATCGAGAAGCAGAAGTCGACGGTCGCCGCCGAGGACAGCAACGGAGGCAGCATATCCGAGTACGAGCTTCCTGTTGACAGCGCGTGGGAGTTGCCCAGGGAGCATTTGGCTTTGGGCAACACTCTTGGCGAGGGAGCCTTTGGCAAAGTGATCAGAGCGCAGACCAACACCGGCAAGCCTGGAATACCGAACGTGGTGGCTGTTAAGATGTTGAAAGGTAACAACTTCGAACTGGTTTTTTTGTTGTTGTCATTATGAGCTTCGGAAGCGCGGAGAACGTGTCGATTGATTTACGAATCCGTTGCAGAGGGCCACACGGACGCGGAGATGATGGACCTGGTCTCCGAGATGGAGATGATGAAGATGATCGGGAAGCACGTGAACATAATCAATCTATTGGGCGCGTGCACGCAGGGTGGTCCGCTGTACGTGGTGGTGGAGTTCGCTCCTCACGGGAACCTGCGCGATTTCCTCCGGGACCATAGACCTTCCTCGGGGTACGAGCCAACGATAGGCCAAGACGCCAAAGAGAAGAAGACCCTCACGCAAAAGGACCTGGTCTCTTTCGCGTACCAAGTGGCCAGGGGCATGGAGTACCTGGCGAGCCGTAGGTGCATTCACAGAGACCTGGCCGCCAGGAACGTCCTCGTCAGCGACGAGTACGTGCTGAAGATCGCTGACTTCGGTCTTGCCAGAGACATCCACTGCCACGACTACTACAGGAAGACCACGGACGGCCGGTTGCCGGTGAAATGGATGGCGCCGGAGGCTCTGTTCCATCGGGTCTACACCACTCAGTCCGACGTGTAAGTGTAGTCTTTGTCGGACATGTGTATTGAAAAACATCGCTCAACGAGAAGGATCGTTCCATAAAGGATTGTTTCCGCAGATGGTCGTACGGAATTCTGTTGTGGGAGATCATGACGCTGGGTGGCACCCCCTATCCGTCCGTACCCTCGGTGGAGAAGCTGTTCCACTTGCTGAGAACCGGTCATCGAATGGAGAAACCACCTTGCTGCTCCATCGAAATGTAAGCGCGCTCGACTTCACGGTTCTCTTCGAGATATATATACCTCGGAATAACGTACTCATTAACCGATGTCGAATTACAGATACATGCTGATGAGAGACTGCTGGAGCTATCAGCCGAACGAGCGACCTATGTTCGGGGAACTGGTCGAAGATCTTGATAGGATACTAACGATAACTGCGAACGAGGTAAGCAGACACTTCTGAACTTGCTGAACACTTTGGGACTACTTCTCGTCAGGTTGGAAGTAGCCGAGATCTAATTAAAATCCTGTGCGATCAATCGACTAGGCTGATCTTCTTAATCACCACGTTCGCCACGCGGGGGGTTAAACTAGGTCCCAGTTAGGTCGGGGACCTATTATCCCTAAATCGATTGTTTTCTGAATTTTAGGAATACCTGGACCTCGGACTACCTCAGCTGGACACCCCGCCGTCCAGCCAAGAGTCCAGCGAAGCCGAGGACGACGACGGTGAAGAAACATTCCCGTATCTGCTCTGAGCTTAGCGCACCCGGTCTTACGGGCTTCACCGAGGAAAAACCATCCATGAGGATCGACGAACGAAAACGACGACGAAAAGGACGTTTGGGAAAGGATCGAGGAAACCGCTGGATCGACCAGCGAACACGCCAAATAATCGAAATCAGTATTGACCTGTTAGCGCGTATTTTTCGTAGAGTTTAAGGGAAGAACACAATTGTCAATTGAGAAGCAACTCCGGCCTTTCGAGGAGACTGATTTTTCTTAACGAAGAACACTGTATTTATTATCCCTGTATCGTTGCACCCTGGGAAGTTAGGCTCCCGACGATGCAAGACCGTCGCCATCGGGACGGTCCCAGTATTGGAACGCAGTCGTTCCCAGATATTTTTCTACGATTCTCAGGTTTCAAGGTTCGTCCGGGCAAGAACGAACCCCACGAAAGACTTCGACGCGCTCCCTAAACTGCGTCCGAAGCGACCAGGCGGATAGAATAGCTTGTCGAACGCGGACCACCGGTGTGACCGTCGTCCGAGGATCTCGCAGATTCCAGACACCGCCGGGGTCGTCTGTCTAGACCAAGTACGAGCACTCTTTGCCCTGGAACCGTCCTAGATTGTCCCGCAGGGCAACGGCTTCGAGACGCAACTGACGCCGGAGACAGAAGATGAACTGCCTTGCTCCTTCTAAGTGCCTCGAGGGGACACGATCTTGTCGCTCCCGTTTGATATGGAGCCAGAACAGCGCGCCCCGCAGGGCGATCATGTTCTAAGCGCGAACGGGGTGGCGGATGAATTATTAGAGCGCGTGAAACGTCGTCCAATTTCTACATGTTATACCGTGCCATTGATAAGTGCCTTGGAATGATGGCGGAAGTTTGAAGTTCGGCCAGGGCTCGTTTTGTAAAAAGATAAAAAGAAAAAGAACTGAAAAAAAACCGGAAGGAGGACGCGATATATACAGCCGGAGGACTTCGAATTCTTCGGGACAACACGTGTTTCGAGGCGAAAGAACAAAACGTGTTTTGTAAACTAGTCAAATCGATGAAACATGGAACGTTTCTCTGTAAGATAGCGACCTTTTTAGGTGGACAACGACCGCGAGTTTCGAGCGCAGCGAACCGCGTATGTTTCGTTTTCATAGGTTTTATCTATCGTCTTCATCTGTTTTCTTTTGTAGAAAAAGTGTTAGACCGTAAGGACGAGAGAAGGGAGGAAAGGAAAAAAAAAACTTTGGTGCGCGTTGGCGTGTCGGCGAGCCGACGTGTTGATGGTTATACATATACATATTTCTCTTGTTGGATCGGCTCGTCGACGTTCCAACGCGGGCGATGTATAGCTCTTCGAGGGGAGGTGACGTTGACGAGATCATTAATTGTATAATTTTTTTTTCTACGAGAACATTTTGCACGCGAACGAAAATCGGTTAATCATCGTCCACGCCTGCCGCCGCACGCGACGGTTGTATAAATGGTGCATGCGTGACTAGGTGCTTAGTAGTAGATAATTTATTTCCTTGTATATTGTTACTTAGGACACTAGAAGGCCTTCTCTGTTTCTTTTATATCCGGCGAATCCCGAGTCGGTCTTTTGTAAAATATCACGCGCCGAGTTCTCTTAACCCTTTGTACATATAGCACCGACTTGTTTATTTAAAAGCTACTTTTTGTTACCCAGCGCACCTAATGGTAGCCAGTAAACCAGCATTTACCAAGGTAGACATGTATGTATAGTTTCTGCGTAAATATTGGATTATTATTGTAATGTGAGTTTCATCTCGAATAAAAAACGATTCGAACTGTACTGCACGACTTTTCATTCCGGTAACACCGTTCAAATTTCAATTTCAATTGGACCGTCACTTAAATTCCAATTTAACCCTTAAAAGTTCAATTTAAGTTTAAACGCCCCAAAACGTTCTTGCCTGTGTAGTTTAAACGCTAGTTGAAACAATTCGGCATGTAGATTATTTTATGCAAAAATTGATTAAGAATCAGATAAAACAGTGATTTTAACGATAACGCGTATAATTTATTTCTCATCATTTTTTTTCTTTGGCTAAAACGTGGTCATCCTGTACTAATAGCGGCTCTTTAAATGGGAACGTTGAAATGTTAAAATTCATCATAAATTTGCAAGCTTTGCCTTGATTATTATCTCAAACCATATTTCAATCCCGCAACTAATAAATTCCTCTAATTATCTTTCGTTTGTAGGCAAAGTCACGATAACGAGCGTGCATAATTGAGTTACACTGTAATCCAACGATCGGCGTCGATCTAACGGCTATAAACACGAGTGAAGTAAATTACGCTCGGTATTAAACAAGATATACAACTGGCATAATGAATATAAACGATCGAATAAAGCTTATTTTGCATGTGATTGATCGAAGGAGGATACACACAATCAAATCAGCCTCCCCCCCACTACGGGACCGAACCGCGTGTCCAGAGAAAAGTTGACTAACCAAAGAGCGATGGCGCTCGGATCAGTTCGTTTTGTTGTCATCAGCCACATTTACACTAATTTGTTTTTATCAAGTTTTTAGTGGTACCTTTAATTTTCTATTCTTCCACTTAACTACGATCCCACCACGGAAGATGCGGAGGATGGTGCGGACCGTTCACACAAAATTTCCAAACGAATAGCACGAGTGACAGTTGCCGTTGTAGGCTACCACTCGACATTTCAGGTTAGAATCCGATAACCCACTTTTTTCGGAGCACTATATTTTTTTCCATCTGTCAGTCGCTGGAATCCAGATTTTATTTTGTTCGTGGAAGACCAGAGATAATGCCGGATTGTGCGATAACGCGGAGGGTTTTCCCAAATTCGATGATTTCAGAGTTTTTATCGTTTGAGACAACACTACTTCGTCTCAACATTTTTGTCAACATTGACTCATAAATTGTCTAAATAAAAGCGACGTAAACTGAAAAATATCTGCTAAAATGTTAATCCTTTGATCGCGGTTCGTTCTAATTTAAAACTATCAGCTTTTTATTGTGGAACATCCATCTGATAACCTTTATAGTTGGTAAAAATAAGTCATGATGAGAATATAGATACAGCAAAACTAAGAGTTGCACTTTTTAGGAATAAAAGAGCATCAAAAAGGATGAATATTTCATTATATTGATTTATTAAAATACCTTTGTATAAATGAATTGAACTATGAGAGGATATATGGAAATGTTCCTAAATCGAATAGTTCAGTATACCCAGTGTCAAATATTCTGACACTATTGTGATATCTGAGTGATGTGTATGTTGATATAGGTAGCTACAGTTATTAAATGGTGATTATCAGTGCCATGGAGAGGAGAATCAAGTTGAAAACACTGAATAGTCACATAACGTGTAAAATATGCTGGGGTTACTTGATAGATGCCACCACTGTCACAGAATGTTTACATACATTTTGCAAAAGTTGCCTAGTGAAACATTTAGAAGACAAGCACACGTGTCCAGCATGTCAAATAGTGATACATCAATCGCATCCCCTACAATATATAAGCTTCGACAGAACTATGCAAGATATTGTCTACAAACTAGTTCCTGATCTTCAAGAGAGTTAGTAATTCTGTTCTCACCAAGGATAAACAAAGTGATATGCGTGTAATCAAATATGTTTCGCTCCAGATGAAATTAAAAGGGAAAGGGAATTTTATAGAGCAAGGGGTCTACCTTGCCCGAAAGATGTTCTGCCCAATGCTGGAGAAGTAGAAGAGGAGAAAACCACAGCAGACGCACATGCAGAATCAGATTATCATCGTGCAGATGAACAGGTACAATTGAATGAATCGTTAGCACTTTTACTAATTTATTACCGTTTCAATTAATCTATTCTTATTCCTCAGGTTAATGTGTGTTTGGAATGTATAAATACAAGTTTAAAGACTCTAAAACGGAGATTCATCAGGTGTTCTGCCCAAGCAACTATTACACATTTGAAAAAGTTTATTGCCAAGAAAGTTCTCAATGGGATGGAAAAATATCGGGATGTAAGTAAACAGATTCTTGTAACAAGGTCGGTTGTCCCCAGATGTCGTTAACTTATTAATGTACATGTTACAGATTGATATTTTGTGCAATGACGAACTGTTAGGTAAGGACCACACATTAAAATTCGTTTACGTGACGAGATGGAGGTTCCGGGACCCACCCCTAAGGCTACAATATAGACCACGAATAGACATCTAAGACTAATATTTCTGTGTTCGATGAAATCACAAAGAATCTGTACCTACTTTATACGTTTCCTAGTTCTATTCGTGTATGCTCATTGTAGTACTTATTTCTGTGTTCTCACACAGCAGGAACTTCAGATTGAATTCACAAAATGTGGAGACGGTTTCTTGCAACAGAAAGATGAAAGGAAATGGCTTTAGACTTATATCTTTCTACCGTATCACTTTAATGCAGAATACCAATAGTCATTTAGCACAACGTATTTGTAAAAATAGGAATCCCGTCAGTATACATAATTGATTATATCTTCCTTTGTTCTCTTCGAATAGCTAGTGATTCGAATCGTTTGCATATTGTCACAAGTGAGTTACATTAACTCGACTCTTTATTATTAATTCGGTGCGTTACTTTTTACTCGAATAGAGGTTTTTGTGTAATTGTAGTAGCGTTAAGTAGATCAAGCATGGAATGCGACACGTTGCACGAGAATGACGGGAGGAAAAGAAAAACAAGAGACAGTGAGGAGAGAGAATATGTCTGTTTACACGCAGTGTCGCAGAACGTGTTTCAAGAAACATTTAGTTGCAGCGTTAGACGATGCACTGTGCTCTGTGTGTTCTTGTATCAATCTTCCGTGACTATCTTTCTCAAGCATTTGTTCCGTGAGACAAAATCGCCTGTTACCGACTTTCCACGGATCTATGGAAGTTAGTTGCTTATTTTCGTTATAATCGGCGATAGGACAAGGTCGCCCCTTCTATTCGTAAAACGTAAGACGTGAATTGTTTTTTGATACATGCCCCGATTGTATATATAGAATATTTTTGACAGAATTCCGAGTAACATTGCGGGTAGGCGCAGCTTTGTATTAGACGAAAAAAAGGGATAAATGGAAACAAAAAAGAGAAATCGGGCCCAGACAAGGATGGTCTGGGGCCCCTTTAACTTTGTATGTTTACGCACTGTACACATTCTAACCGGCCCCGAATTTCTCTCAATACCGGGCTACAAAATGAATTTTATCAGATGTGACATATTTTCTCGAAGGATTTGATAAGGACAACGACGTGTTGAGCGGAACGCGGGGCATTTGTCGCTTTGTAGTGAATGAACTTGTTTCATCGGACAGTGTAAAGCGAGACAACTGTGTGATTGTATATAAACATTCTAGGGAAATGAAGTGAAATCGACTTTACAAAGTAGCAGCATTTCATGAATGCTAGTGCTTGTACGTTGTACACTATGTGTGTATCTCCATAAATTATTAAATAAATATGTTTTGTACAGTATTAGTAAATTTCTTTAACACGAAACTGCACATTTTCAATTATAATCACATTAATTCCATTAACTCGTTTCACCAACACATCGGTTGAAAATTAAATTTATGGTGCACATCGAACGATAATAATTCGAATGTACCGCATTTTCCAACCCGAATTCAATATGTCGGAAATTCGATATCTCGCAAATTGCGATTGTCGAAACAAAGATGGCTGCCCCATTTAAACCGCGCTTGCCGCCACAAGCACTAACCACGCAATGGACATTTGAACGTTAACTAAAACTACAAATCTGAATATAGTGATTACATAGGATAATCAGAATTTATGAAACGGTCGATAGATTATCTAACGTTCGACGATTAATAGATCGTCGTTACGGTGAATGGTCGATACAACACTAATTTCGATCGAATGTTGTAGAACGACCCTATCACATATCACCGAAATGCACACTAATTAACGAGCCCGCGAGTTAAGACACTTAACAGTGCCAGAAATCAATTTAAGTATGTCAAAAAATTGTATTTCAATCATACCAATGAAGACTGCATTCGAAGTCGAACTGACATTCCAATTTTTCGCACGAGGCGCATTCCGGATCTGGAAACGAAGCACAACTTTAATTACCTCGAGTGAAAGACACGAAATTCAGGATAAACGTGCTGCTTAAGAGAGCCTTCGCAAAATTCAATAATTATAACGTGGAATCATCAATAATTACCTTCATAAATGGTAAAAAGGCAGGACACGACATAACACAACACGCAACTTTACACAACCGGCGGCGAATGAGCGAGCCAGTGCGCATGCGTGTACGTTGAACAGGTTAAACAAGCCGGCGCATGCGTCGTGCATACTAAAATAGTTTGTGGTCAATGCGCGACTACTAGAGACCGTTGCTGCTGTCCAGCAGCACGGCAGACGCGATTTATTCAATTAATAACCGATGAATGTGACTCGTGAAACCAGTGATATTTCGTATGCGTGTATCACGCGCAGTTTCGCCGATAAATGAGCCTGCAAGACAGCCTCTTCTCCGAAGACGTGGAGCACGACGTGACTCTGTTTTCAAGGGACAAGAGACGGAAAAGGTACGTGCCAAACGATCACGTTTCTGGATGTAGCGAGACGCGCCTTTAAAGGTTAGACCAGCAACGCTTTTACTGCGTGTCTTCGACCGTTGTCCACAACTTTCGTTTTCTAAACAATGTTTACAACAGCGAGACCCGTTAAGCTTTCCCTCGTGGAATCATTGAACCGTTCGTTCGAAAAAAATGCAACGGCATACCCGACGTTTACGTTTGTCATTGACACGAAACAGTTCGAAGGTACGCGTCGCAGATAATGCCAATGCGACGATTTACGATATTCTCACGCGAATACCAGCGGTCTGCGTCGAAGTGACGTAGACGATTTCGATGTGTTTCCCGTTTGCATCCTTGACACGCGATTTGATTCAAATCGGAAAGCAATTAAGGCAACCCGTTGGATCTCGGGAAACTGTTAAGATGCCATATAACCGTTGCAAACGGGGCAACAGTTTATCGACTTCTTTCACCGACTCTTACTACGTTTATAAATATCTCAGACTGAGAAGACGTGACTAATAATCGTAATTATCTTTGTGACAAGCGCTGACTTTTGTAGCACGTATCTTGACGACGACGACGGATCCGTTACCTTGCTGGATCCAACGTAGCTGTCTTTCTTTTTCTCGCGTGTCACCTGCGTATTCTAGACGTCGATGTTTTTTCCGTCCCCGGACGATGCTATATTTAAACAATCTGCATAACATTTGGAGAAACATAAAAGAACCATGAACCCACTGGCAATGTGCCGAAGGCAAATCGAACAAAATCGCGCGTCGATCATTTCTTTACCGTGAGATTACGTTGCTGTCGACGGTCAAGTTCTTTTTTCATGTCATGGATATTGGTTAAGTAGCACTCGACAAGCAACGGCACTCCGGTGTTCGACCATCGCGGAAAATTCGCGCGGAATGCAAAATTTAATGGAACCTATTATCCTCATCAGCGGGAACGAGGCTAATGATCCGCAATGCTCGAGGTTAAGTTCTCGTGGAAGAGAACTCGTCGCTTCCGCCGTCGGCGGAAAAACAAAACAGAGCCAGCGAAGGCCATCGATGTGTGTATTTGCCTATTAACGGCGCGCAGATCTGTGGATAACGCAGAACAGGTTAACGCGGGACGGCCGAAAGCGTGTTATGTAAGAAAGCGGCAAATTTCGTGGACAGCTGTGTGCATCGCGTAACATTGCATAATTACTGGAACCACGCGCGAAGGGAATCCCCTGTCGATCCTATTTTGAAAACTGACCCTGCGCGTGGTGACTGTTAATCTCTATCGGCTTCCTCGCCGTATGTCGCTCACGTATACGCTTGATTACGTGAATCGAACGCAACGCTTACGAGATACCACTCTGCGTTTCTTCTTTGTAGTTCAAGGCTCGTCGATTTAGTCGTCGATGATCGCATTTGAGATATCGAGCGAACGATACAGGCCGGGGATAGCCGTTTTTCTCGAGCCAATTTCTTTTTTTTTACCGGCTTTCGCGGAGAGGGTGGGAACGATTTGTAATGCTTCATGGTCCGTTCCACCTGAACGGTCATGGCATGCAATCATTTACCTATCGCATAACGTGTGGAACGCCAGCGTACGGCGAAAACGTGACTCGTTCGTGTGTCCTTTATTTACGATGCACAAAAAGGCTCCGCGAAACCCGCATCTTTTTCATCTTATTACGACGAAGCTCGCGCCTTCTAACAGGTGCAACGCGTGGCACAGGTCACGTACCTGTAATGCTACAGTGATTCTTACCGCCTGGAACCGTTCAATTTACGGACCACAGCGGTACGAATCGTTTGCAACTTCTCCTGCTCTCTATTACGAAATACGCATCACGTTTTGCCCCTTTTTCAGTTACATTATTTGAATAATGCCCGAGGAACTTTCTACGTTACGTGTAGTAAAATCTCATTTCCTGGTTACAGACGGACGAATTTTCCATTTTACTCCGGTCATAATAATAGTCTCCTTACCTGGAACGGTAATCAAGCTCTCTTTCTAACTGTACAGACCGACGAGTTTTCCATTTTACTCCGGTCATAATAATAGTCCCCTTACCTGGAACGGTAATCAAGCTCTCCAACGGTACACGTAATTCGACACCATTCTTGCCGGATGCGACGGTCGTAGACTAGGGTAGCTGCGCTTGTTTGTTCCGTAGATTCTATTGCATCATTTTCAATCGATTCCTGCCGATTGGATAGCCTTGATCGTGCAACTGTTAACAGCGTTTGATTATCCAACGAATTTTCCGTTTGATGCGTCGAACGTGTAACGACCGCCGGCTTGTTATCGAATGCGATGATTATGCGGAATGCAAACGAGGTTGTGCGACTTGCCGGAATGCGGCCGAAACGCCGGTACCGGGGAATACAAGGATGAATCCGATTTGAGGAAACGAACGAAGGAGAAAGTAAAACGCGCAAAGCGTTATGTAAAAGTCCAAGCCGGCGTGTTCATCTGGCGGGATACGGCGAACTGGCCCGGGGCAAGGCGGTTACGTTCACCGTGTCGGCCGTCCTCGGTCCGGTCTCACTTTCAACCGCGGTCGTAACGCGTTCTTTTCACTTTTACAGGGTACTCGTCTTTCCACCTGTAAACAACTATCGGAGATTCATCATACACCAGCTGGTGCAGGACCGTTTCGACGACCTGCACACGTTCTCGATCGGTCAGGGCCTTGACAGACGGACCGTCGTGTGCTACAAGAGTGACTTGATAAGGTATCAAGGTGTTCAGTGACACAAACATCCACGAAGAAACTAGAACTTTATCCTTTGTACCATTCGACTGGTAGCGTTTGAAAATGATTCCGAAGTTCTCTTGGGTAATTCGTTGATAATGACCGGCACGAGAAAACGCTCGTCAAAGCGATAAAGTGTAGTGAAAGTAAACTTCGTGTGCATAATTTTCTAGTAGCGTACATCGCATACGATTTCAACGGAGTTATTAACAATTAACGACTAACGAGTTAAATACTCTGAATCAGCGATCAATCATAGTTTGATGATTGACCATTAATTGCTTCGATCGTTCGAGTTAAAAATCAACTACTATGTATATCCTTCTAAAAACCAGTGATGTTTATTGGTGATCAAGTGAGTGACTATTGTGTAATTAATTTCTTAATTCCGATATAAATTGTGTGACTTTGTTGGAGAATTTTTTTAAATACATTGTAAGGAATAGTTTGTATAGTAAAGATGTATTATTAGATCAACTTATTAAGAAATCCTCGATTGTTTAACTTTGATTTTTAATCAACTACCGGCTGGCAAGGTGTTGATTTTACATCGAGCATAACTACCACGAAAATTGTTAATGCTTGCGAATAATTGCGAAACGAATTTACCACGGTGGCATTCTTACGACGTAGCAGAGGCAAACGAAAGTGAAACTAACAGGCTCAAGGTCGCGTAACGTATTCCCCGGATGTGATCATAGGACCGGCTAACATTTCGAAGAACGTTGGCCTACAATTGAGGAGGCACCAAACAAGTTTGTCAGCGTCTAATTTTCTATTTTTATGATTCAAGGGATCCGAAATTGAATGGTGCTCAGTGTAAATCGAGTACGAAGGTCGCTGATACGCTGCTAGAGATGGGTGCTGATGGCCGAAGATCGCCATCCGCTTCGCCTGATCGTGTACGAGTACAGAGGCCAGGTAAATTCTGTATTTCATTCAAATTCTAACGATATAATCGAAACACATTAAATTGACAAATAATTTCGTACGCTCTCGCGGCGATTTTTAGTGAAGACAGTGCCAGCAGTTGAGATATACAGGCCACCAGCTGCCAGGAGGGCTAGGAGTGAACAGACAAACACAGATCAAGTTCAAGTGCAATCCACTGACTCATCTTCTAGTGGAAAGTAAGTTATCTTAATCTTTTCTTCAATTTCTATGGTAATTCTTACAGATTTCAGAACACATTAATATCTCATACTTTTATGAAACACTTTACAAAGAGCTACTCGCCAAAGGAGGCCAGACCGTGCCGTTTATGTTCCGCGAGCTCGTAGGAGCCTAGACACTGAAGGAAGCCCACAACCTTCGGAATCTACTCGCACGAGTCGAACAACCAAGGAAAATACCGTGTCGTCCTCCACACCTCACAGACAATCAAAGTCGAATTTAAGCGTTAAAGAACTAGACTCTGATAATACCCGGCAAACTGTGGAATGTGTGAAAAAGGGATCGAACAACTCCGATAAATGTCCGAGAAATCTAGAGAATGAAATTAGCCAGCGTCTTCAGACTGACACGAAGGACACCGACTCGTCGGGTTCTCCGACCGTGTCTGACGTAGAATCTTGTAATCAAGAAAAAACGGAACAGCTGAATAGTGAAAATGAGCACGTGCCAAACAAACCAGATAGTTCCACTGTTCCGGATGCAAAATGTGATGGAACCAATGCATTTCAACCGCATACTGTTCAAGAAGAAGAAACGTCTAGTAGTTCTAGCGAGGATAAGACTAGCTTAGATTCAGTTGAAGTGTGTGTACATAGCGAAGTTAATATTAACGATGAGGTAGAAGGATCTGATAAATACATGGATAATGTTGTTACAATGTCTACGTCGAATAATAATAGAAAGAATGACGAACTTTCCAATAAGGATAAGATAACGAATAAGAAGAATACGCAAATGTTAGGTCACAAGATGGTGTCGGATGTTTTAATTATCTCGGATGTAGAACAGAAAGAGCCGCTCCCTGTTAAGGAAACTACTCCCCCGCCTGCAATACCACCGGAAAAGAAAATCAAAAAGATCGAGAGACAGAAAAGTAAACCAGCACCACCGCCATCTCCTCCGATTAAAAAGATGAATAGGGACGAATGCGACTGGGATAGTTTGTTCGACGACAACGGCGATTGTTTAGACCCGACTCTTATAGAAGAGGTAAGCTTGATGATAATTATTTATTAGCAAGTAATCATGACAATTATTTTAAAGACACTTGTTCTTTAGTTGACTTCAGCGGTTGGCGACGTTATGATAGAACAGCCGAAAAGCGATTACAAGTCGTTCACTAAACACATCGAAGTATCTAGCGACGAATTTGCTCACGTTATTGAGATATACAATTTTCCATCAGAGTTTAAGACTAGCGATCTAGCAGCTGTTTTTAGTCCTTTTAAGAATGGTGGCTTCGAATTGAAGTGGGTAGACGACACGCATTGTCTCGGTGTCTTTAGCAGCCCTCTTGTTGGTAATTAAAATGATGCTTTGTCGACCGCCCTAGGGTAACTTACCGTGTACTTACATTCTTGTACTTTTAGCCGCTGAAGTACTGGGGTCTGATCATCCGTTTGTTAAAACGAGGCCATTAAGCGAAGCCACGGCGTTAAGTAAAACTAAAGCAAGACGAAGCGCAGAATTTCTGCAGCCTTACAGAAGTCGCCCTGAAACTTGTGCTGCATTGGCCAGGCGATTGGTCACAGGTGCTTTAGGTGTAAAACTAGCTACAGCTAGACAAGAACGTGAACATGAGAAAAATGTTTTACGTGAGGCTAAAGGTAAGTGCCATTTAGAAATATTTGAATAGCTTTCAATAGCTGGGGATAAAATGGTTAAAAGAAAAATATAATCTCTTTTTAGAAAAACGTAGATTAGCGAACAAACAACGGGAAGACGTCTGGGAAGGCATAATTCCCGAAAAGTAGCATTATCTGCTGGTAATGTAATGTTACATTGAGAATTACTTGCATCATATGTAAATGCTACGACATTTACATGCATTTGTGCCTTACTCATCTATTTTTCATCTTTGACAAACTCATTTGTCGAGTACTGATTTGGCTATTGGTTTCGGGAACACACTTGGGGTAACCTTTGCCAATAGATGAGTGCGGCAATGCAGAGGTACCGATTACTGATCATACTCACTTAGGACTGGTAAATGAGTTTTTCCAGCGTTTGTTTTCATTTATACATGTTATATATACACGCATATCACAATTGTCCAGACTAGTTGAATGCGAGCGTGCCTGTTGCACTATTTTCTAATGGAGAAGGTATCGAGTATTTTAAGTGATATATACTTAGACAGGGCGGTTTTCAGTCCCGTTTATTATTAGATCAACTATAGAAACAGATGTAGAAACGTTTTACGATACGGTTATATTCTTACCTCGACAGTTGCCTCTGTTAGAAATTTATATATACGACGATAAACAATGCTGTGTTGTGCAATGATAATACGAGACAATAAGTTAGAAATCGTAGAAAATAATACGATAATATTCTCTATGATACATGCACGCGTACTGCATGCGCATACATCGATTTTGCTACCGTGATATGTAATCAAAACGTGTCTTCACAGAGTTATGATTTTCACTATGGAACTATTAATGAAAATACGAGGTGGCATTTTATTATTGTCTGTGCAACGTAAAAGTTATTGTAGTTGTGAATTATATATATGCCACTTGTATACATATATATTTCTGTTATATGAATGTTAAAATTCTGACGCACAATCATAATATCTACACATATTACAGACTTATTATGCAAGAAAAAAGGAGAACACAGAACTGCAGATTGTATTTTTATATACAATTGTTACCAACAGAGGAATAAAGATATGTATCGCCAAATCCTAGTCAATGTACACAAGGAACATGTTACCTATATTGTATGTTATATTGCCGAAATTTTTGTCAGCTCGCTGACAAAAGAATTTAACAAAGGAAACAAAATGAAAAAAAAGAATAAAAAATATTTTATGTACCATACTGTATCGCATATATTTTTCCTCACTCTTGCAATTCAATTACAGTGTTCCATCTAATACTATATGTAGATTCAAAATCTCAACCGATCAGGATTATTTTAAAAATGGCAGTAAAATGCACTGTACATAAAAAGTTTTTACATGTATAGACCACAACGACTTGCTAAAGTACAATTCAAATGCGAGCATCCATGATTACCATTTTCCACCTTTCTTTTTCTTTTTCTGTTGCACTTTGCGTTGTTGTTGTCGCGGGCCGGAAGTCTCCACAGCTGGACTGTGTCGCGGATTAGGGGAAGGTTTAGCATTCGTAGGCATTTTGGTGATATCACTGTTAAAATTAATAGTCAATTAGTAAAATCAGCTGCCTATAAATGACAAAAAATATTTAATACGTACTAGAGGTCGCTCGCTCCAGCAGCGGTACCCTGTGTACCCTTCATAGCAATATCCCTATTCCTTCTGTCGCGCTTTTTCCTAAACCCGCTACGTTCATGTCTGGGCAACCATCGTTCTGGGTCAGGTGTTACATTTGAATCATAATTCTTAGGTAATTTACCCTTGCGCTTACGCTTCTTACGTTTCTTTTTCGTCGCATCAACAGTAGGTTTGCTAAACAACAAATTTATGGATCATTTATGATAATAGTACCTTAAATATATGACAGATATAGATAACATATAATAATAATTACCCTGGCGATGGTTCTATTTTCTTCTTAATAACCTTGGTACCTATTACCCAATTACTACTTTCCAGAGCATCCACATCTGTTTTCTCTGCAAGGTCATGAAGAGGTGGTAATCGTTTAGACAACAGTTGCGCCTTTTCAGGACAGAATTGCACATATGCGACCACCAATTGGGCCAATGTTTTAGTGTCGGAAGGAGAAGCATCCACCATTTCTTGTAGTATGTCCGCGGCTACTTTGATATCGCCACCACGAAGGTAGAAATCAGCGGCCTGCCGCCAGAACTCTCCTAGATTATCGGTGGTTTCCTAAATATCCACCAAATGACAATTAAATTAAAAACAATAGAGAAGAATGGGAGAAGGGTGAAATGATGTATACCTTATTTTTCTTATAGTAATTGACAGCATTTTTTAGGGCACTCGACGCTTTTTCACGATTATTGTTGGCCATGTAAAGAGTAACAAGTGCGCTTACTACTCCGGGCAGTGACTTGTCTCTGTCATTCAAATTTTCGAGAATTTCGATCGCTTCTTGTTTCTCATCTTGGCTGAGCAGAAGTTGCACACAGACCAGTTTCATCTGTAGCTCTTTCTCTCCAACCGCGTACTGAGTCAACAGTTCCGCGGCTTCCTTTGCTTTGCCATCTTTACTAAGCTGAACGGCTTTAATAAACATCGCATCAGCGGCTAGTATTGGGTGGTCCTTTGCAAGCTTGTTACAAAGCGATTGACACTGTTCTGCCTGTAAATATACAGTTAATATACTGTTAATATAACATATTAAACATTGCAGACTATCCGTATACTTCAGGTGACTTCTTCCAAAAAACAGACCTGATCAGTATATAGAGCAAGTAAACATTGATTGTAAGCAATGTTCCGTCTTTGTCTCGAAGTTAATTTGTGTTCCAAACTGTCGTGCGTAGCACTCTTCATCCTCTTTTTGCTGTCAAAAACATTCTGGTCCTTGTTGAGACAGACAAGATTATTGCTTGCAACTGCTACCAAAGCTATATCGTCTGGTTTTGCTTTTAAAGCAGAAGTATAGAGTGCCTGGGCCTCTTTCTCGCGACCTTGAAGTTGGAGACAACATCCAAGCTGAACCCTAATAATTCCTAATTCATCTTCTATTTCTTCTTCAGCTACTCCATCTTCCTCAAGACCTTCCTTGCACATTTTCTCAGCTGCTCTCAGTTTCTTTTCTGCTTCTATTAAAAGTGATCTATCTCCATTGCTACCTTGTATAATTAAATTACACGCTGCATTGTATATCATTTCGTACGTGTCTTCCCTTAAGGCAGGAACTTCCAAAATCTGAAAGGAAAACGTGTATATGAAATAATTAGATATATTTAACTTTAATTGACCACTTACAGAGTCCTCTGTTGCTAAGTTAACAATCACAGCAGCAAGATTTGTTTCCCTTTCGTCTTCATACTCATCATGAGAATTCTTTATTATGTCTCTATATACACCAAAACATTCTTCATACTTCTCAAGTCGATACAGTATTTGTGCTTTCAACTCTTTGAGCCTTAAAGAAGGATTAGGAACAGCGTCCACCACCTTCAATGCTTCAGGCAGTTGATTCAATCGGTATAAACAGTAGGCTTTCTCAAAATCTAAGTTCCTGCAAAAAGAGGTACTTGTTCAGTTGTTAAATTTAATCTATGGTGATTACAATAGTGCAAAAGCAATTTTGTTTGTTTATAAATGATGAGGATAGGAAGAGTTAGGTACATGAGTAGCCAGATGTCAAGATAAACAATCTTACCCAGCCAATTTCTGGTTTCTAGTCATAAATTGCAGCACATCATTAAACTTTGACAGTTGAATGCAACAAATAACTTTACACTGGAACGCAGCTTGTTCATCTTGGGCGAGTCCTAGAACTAAATAATTTTCTAATATGAGTACACAGCATTTAAATAAAACGGCGCACAGGTTATGTTTACTATAAATTAACAGAAAACGATTCCTTTAATAGACTCAATAAATTACTTACTTTTATTCGCGACTTTCAAGGCTCTCTCGTATTCTCCGTTTTGTCCTAATTTATTTAATTCCGCATACAACGCTGACAGATTGTTCTCCTTAGTGGCCATGTTGCTCACTTTAGCATATCCAACGTGGAACCAGTTTGTGGAATAAACATGGAATCACGATATACTGCTATCATATGAATTCAATTTCCATTTCATTATTTTCATACGTACTAAATTAATTAAATGGGATAATGGAATAGGTCAATTTTGAAATATTTATATTCTTATGAAGAAATACGTAAAATATTATGAATTTATGATAAGTTAAATATTTTACACTTGTTAGATAGCTTAATGTGCTATCATATGATGATATTGCGCGAAAAGATTCATCTGATATCCCACAATAGTAAATTATTCAATAAAATTAAAGTTTCATTTGAAAAGTGGATTGAAGTGCCATCTGACGTGTCACTTTAAATTTAAATTGTGTATCAGTTTGAACGGATCGCCGCGGATGGCGCCACTAGCTTCAAATTTGAATAATATAAAATAATTGCTAATATTTTCGGGATTCATTACAGCTTGTAGTGTTTTTTTTTTTTAATTAAAATAAAACAAGGGAAATGAAAAGTTTGCGAGAATAAAACAAGGGAAACGAAAAGTTTGCGACAACTATTTTATTCATTCATATCTATAAGCATTGTTCCAATCTTTGTATGAAATATCAGTAAATCGCCACTGCACAAAGTTCTTCTGTTCAGTTAAGTACACTGAAGGACTTGTTATCCTTGAAGCACTTGACTAGATTGGCAGCTTTCTTACAGTCATTGGGGCCAGCTAAAACAATTAATAACAGATTTATTAATGTATATTAATCTAATTAATACATCATTGCAACAATATAATTCCAAATATTCTACTTACTGATGTCCTTGCATTTGTTGATAACGTCATCGATCTGCTCCTTTGTAACTTCAGCGGGTGCCTTTTGCCTGGCTGTTTCTTCGTTCAAGGATCCGTCTGCATTCATCTGTTACATAAGTATTATTTGTTACAACATGTTATGTTATTCATTGTCAACTAAAATAAAAAATATAATAATAGAGAAGATCGTGGAGGTGAACAGAAAATAGAGTATATTTCATACAGATTTTCTGCTCTAATTTACTATTTTTATCACGGAGGTTTAAAATAAATAATATATCATTGCACTTACGATTCCAATCTTTTTCAACATGCAGGAGGAGAAACAGGCCAGTTTTTCGTCATCCATATTGAAATTGCCGGTCTTCGCTTCCTCTACCGTTTCTGTAATGTAAATATAATTTTTTCTTTATTTGTTAGTACATTATAAATTATTTAAGTTGTAATTTTTGGACTTACTCGCGTCAACGCCGGTATCCGTAATACAGTCTTTCTTGTACTGCGTTAGTTTAGCCTTTTGTTCGTCCGTGAGTGCCTAGAAACAATAAAAGTTATAAACATATTGCAAAAGCACACTACTTAACTCACTCAAGTATATTTTATTCAATATCAAGACATGGAATTAGCAAAAGAATTCTGAAGAAATAATCATCGTAATTATTGTCAGTAAATTGTATGAATTATGTTTTTCAAGAACTCCACAAGTAATCACCCAATATCAAAGACAAACCAGTAATCACTATAAAGCACCAATAATTACACGAGCAATCAGAAAACTATTCTAAGAATGTAATCGCACTGTGTAACGTGTACCGTTGATCTTCGGGGTTATCAAATAATTAATATATATCATCGTGTATCATCTTTGAGAACCGACTTCGAAGCATTTCTTTCTCAGCACGAAAACTTATTATTATTATTATTATTAAACGTATTAACTTCAGCACATAAACGAAAACTTCAAAATGGGGAACAAGAGAAACAATTTTAACGAATACGAGAGAGATACTATCAAAAGTTACCACAAATTAAAAAATATTGCCACAAATATTTTGCACTTGTTGGATGCAGATCACCGGTAACCGGGGGGCTCGTTGTCCTGATATCATAAAATTTGGTTGAAACGAAACGAATATCGGCGATTAAAAATATTTAATAATAATCGGACAACAATTACGGATGACCACCCACGTAACGAAAATAAAAATAGCGGAGTGTTATAACTACGAAAATTAAAAGAAAATTCGGTACGTATGTCAGTCGACGCGCCGGCATTTCCAGAAGTTTAGAGGAAAAAACGAATTTTTTTAAAAAATCTCACCAGAGCACTGACGAAGAAGAGGGCGAAAACAATAAGTGCGGCCTTCATGTTTGCAACTGTCGGGACGTCCGTTCGAAGTTTGGTGTATGATGTTCACTGAGAACTGTACACAACATCGGATCTTCCAGGCGTTTTTATAGTTCCAGATAGGATCGACGCGGGCATATACCATCGATGTGTCATTGTTTCTCCTTCCATCGGCCGGCAAACAGACGGAGCATGAGTTTTTTGGTCAACGATATCCCGACATTTCCCTCCCGGTTGCCTACCATAATATTCGACGGTTGTATAACCGTTGACCGCTCGAAAGGACGCACGATGGATTATTTTGACAATGGTCCGGGGATACTACCTACCCATCCATGTCCCGTTAGGAACAAGAAAAAACCGAATATTCCTTTCGAGAATCCCAATGGATGATCTATCGGTTGGATCCAACAATCTTTTATTTTGAAATTACAGCTACGGGAAATAAAAACCGTGACTGATGATGCTTAAGCGTCGAGCGAAAGTACACGTTCGAGAAACGAAATTTTAAAATAAGAAATGACGAATGCGGAAATTTCATGCGACTAATGTATTCTAAAAGGCAAGAAAAAAAAGAAGAATAAAATATCTTCCGATAGAGACGAAATATCACAGCTCCCCGATATTTTTTGCGAAGACGTAGAAAAAGTGGAAACGATTTTAACGTAACCGAAATAAAACGTAATCTAGTGTACACATATTATTTTTCTTCGTGCGTATTTTGAGCCTCCTCTACGCCTGGACTCTCGTTATCTCGCTGTTTACTATGTCCAGCCATTAGCCACATTATCTCCTCCGAAGATAAATAAATTATAGGAAAATGAAGTTTCGAAGATGCTGAATCATATTTCTTTGGATTCGTGGAAACGCGCACAAGGTTTTCATTTAAATAATTTAATCGGTTCTATCGATGCCCGATACATACTTCACAAACCGTTTAGAATGGAAATGTTTAAGTCAGCGACGAGCATTAATCGCAATCGTACATTCGAACGACAACGACAGAAGTGGAGCTCGATCAACTTTTCGATCGAATACTTCTTTTTTCTTCCTTGCTCGAGAAGCGGCGAATGACGATGATGTTTACCACTTAACTGTGCCGTTTAAGATTACTCAAATCGCTGGAAAACTCTACTAGATCGAATATTAGATGAGGCGCTGCTAAAAATAAGTTTAATCTTCTCGAAGATGCTAGAACCCATTTCAATTTATCATCAAATCCATCGTCAATTGTTCAATACATGGTGTACTATTTATATAATATACTATTATATAGTAATATAAATACTATTATATAGTAATATACTATTTATATAATAATAATAATTACAAGACTCAATAATAAATTCCAACACAAATTGCACGAAGTACGAGATATCGCCGTAAATGCGTGATTAGGCGTAACCGGAGGGATTTATAGGGATTTGCCGTAGGGAAATTGCCGTAAGGATTTGTAGTCGTCGCAGGGACGATGCTCGAAAGGGACGTTGGGATTCCATAAAATCACGGTTCCCCGAAATATCACACCTTTCTGCAGCTTGCGTTCCATCGACCCTACTTAAAATTCACGGGGCCTTGTTGCAACATTGTTCAAACAGACCGGTCATCTCTTCTCGGCGAAGTAAACACGACGAAAAAAAAGGACGAGAAGATTGCACGCCGGGCAAGCAGCATGAATAATTGATGACCGTTGTCAGCTCTCTGTTACCATTTTCTTTTCGCGTGCACATTATCGAATTTCATTTGCAGATACGTGACCGCACGTGAATTCATCTTTGCGTCCGGCGAAGGTCACGGTGAACTTCGTAATTTTATACGCCCGTCGAAGGATCGTCGAAGGATTATTGGCGGTTCTCAAGAAACAATTATGCGCTTTAATTAGCCGCGGACGAATAAAGTGCGCGCCGCGTGAAACACGGACCCCCACCATCAACCAATCCGTTCCTCCGCTGTCTAATTAAACGATATCTTCATGCATCTTTTTATGTTGCGTAGTACAGTAAAATTTACTATCGAAATTTGATTGAAAATTCTTGCACGCCTTTCGATTACCGATAAGATGCGAATAGCGTCGAGCCGATTCGGATTTTTCAGCGCGTTTATAAATTACCGTGACGGCGATTAAATATTCGTTCCAGGCTCGGTTAAAAAAAGTTGTTGTTAAAAGAAAAGATTTTTCTTACGTTTTTTGCAACTCCAACCGATTGCAGTTTCTGTAAAAATGTTATTTTTATTGTCTGAGAAACTGGTCTTTCTAACATCTCAGAATAAATCGAGTCGCTTGATCTAACTTGAATCTTTTAAAACGGATACGGATCGTGCGACTCCCTCAAGATTAATATTTAGACGGTAAATTACGTGGAGAGCGTTTAATCGTTGGCGTTACACTATAATTACAAATTGCCTTCTAAACGCGATCGGCATATCAAACAGTTACTTAGGCGAACATGAATCCGAATAATTTATGAAGTACTTCTAACGTTCTCATGGAACTTTCCGCTACAGTATAGTGGTAAGATTGTTTTTCGAAAACGATCAAGGAAGAACGATTATTATGACTCAATCTTCTATTTTCTCATGTTGCAATTGTTGGTGCAGAATAATGTGGTAAAATGATCGTGGGTAATCGATCAACGGGATCGATAATAATCTGAAAATATTTATAGCGAAGTTAATAAATATCTTAATTGTTAATGCAACAAATTAACGGAAAAATAAATAATTGTATTTCATGGATTCTAGTTACTCAAGCAGATTAATAATGAATGAGCATAATACTGTCAAGTCTTTCACTTTCCACATGAGCACGGACGCCATTTAATTATTCAAGCATAAAGCCACTTCAAAAGGTGATTAATCAATCATCTGCAACATTAAATTGCCATTTTTTCTTCTCTATAAAAAAGTTCCACGACATTCGTCATATTTTATGTTGCAACATTCGAGAAAGAGAAATAGACCCTGCTTGTTGGATTAGTATGAATTTTTTATTCGGTCGACTAATAAATACGGATATAATGAACAAAAAAAAAAACAAATCCAGAAGAGCAACAATGACCGCCAGACGCCACGATTATTCATAATTTGACCATCATCGTCTCACAGGAAATTGCTAATAAACAAGGCAGCCGAGGGTTGCGCATAATTTAATGAAAGCATATGAAGATGATTTATTAGAAACTTCCATGTTGATACATGCACACATACATACAGTCCTGATCGAAAGAAATCGTAAGATTATGTGTCTTCGACTTTTATCAATATTTTAACTGGAAGAAATCTCCGTATCTGCTTTTCCAATTATGTTCATTTCAATACGTTGGCGTAGATCAAAGGTCGAGCGTTTCGCTTCATTAATTTTTTCGTTAGTCTATCGCAACCAAATGTCACAAAAAAAGATACGAACGAAACGTTAGAAAGCAAACATCTTTATCAACGAGTTTTTTTCGAAGTAATCGATAACTTAGATGCAGATGCGATTTTACAGAATTTGTTCTCCGAATCTGTGATATCGAATACTTTCAAATTATTTGACATACAGAATCAAGGATCATGATCTAGTTTTCAGATATTAATTTCGAACCTAATTTGAAATCGAAATATTTCCAATTAAGGCCAGTGCTGCCGCCGGTGTCAACGGCCACAACCATTCGATGCGTTAGAACGACCATGCACTGGCGATGCACACCGCCGACATATAGAAGTGCAGTTAACATTGCGGTACGGAATATTAAATTAAGTAGTTTCGCCTAGCATGAAAGTACAACTGCCAAATTGCCTTACGAAACATGGGAGATAAAGGTAACGAATTATTCCAAGAACATGTAACTATCGTCCGCAATCCTTCGATCATTTTATCATACTGACAAATAACATCGTGACACTTGGTTCGCGCATATCATCACCGTTGAAGTTCGACAGCTAGAAATTGATGAAGCATGCAAACGATTCAGACTCGTATTCAACGAAAATGGTTAATAAAACGCTCGGGTCTTTATCAATTCATCGAGACCGGTTCCTTGTGACGTACTAGGTTAGGATACGCTAGTAATTGGGTCATTTGAAAGCGCGCCACTTTGAACACCTCAGCTGTCACGAAAATATTTGCATTCTTCATTGGAGATTTCGATTTTTCTGTTTTCCGCGTTTATTCATCATTACGCCGTGATCGATTCGTGTCAATGCATTCAATAGCCTTTCGGAAGCAAATGTGTGACCGCCAGTTGATAGGTAATCAATGAAACAACGCCAGACAATACTGATAACATTCGGTAATATTTTCCGACGTTTCAAAATGTGAAACCATTTCGTGTATTATTGTCATCTCTAGTTTTTGAACAATTCTTTTTTCAAAAGTTTGAACGAAACGGGAGTTTGCAACAATGTAAAACACACGTTTGGAGTTTAAACAATTGGAAAATCAAAATAAAGATATACTTTGGAATTGTTACATTCGATATATTCGATTTGAATATTTCTTTATTTTAATATCGATCTTTATGAGTATTTTTTTGTGTTCTCATGCGTTATGTAAACTATCACATAACACTTGATCTTTTTCTATATGCCGCTATACTTATATAAACAGCGTGGATGTGTTTCTTGTTTCCAATCCGGGATTATAACATTGGACATTTAGGTCTTCAGTTAGCTAGACTTATTTTCTTAGACCAAAGCACTATCGTGCTTCCTATAAATATGTTTAAACATTACATTAGTGATTTTGGAATACACGCAAATGATATTTTGAGTTTAGAGAAGCTTTCGATTAAATATTCAAAGATGATATCTGCTTGGTTTTTCTTGATTCCTTTTCCCGCCTTAATGGGATTGTCTAATTCTTCATGCAATCGCTAGGTGGCGATTTTCCATGCAGAAATCAATTTTAAAATAAGTTTTCTGTTTAAATAAAATTCGACATTTTTGATTATAATGAATTTCATTCTTTAAAACACTAGTAATACAATTTTATTTTATCATTCTTTTATAATTATTTGTCTATATCGAAATATTATTTGATAGATGATAGAGATCTGGTATTTACGCAGTAACGTTAAGTAATTTTAATTGATAAAAATAATAATCTAATTAATAGTTTAATTAAATCTACAATGGTGTAGGAAACTATTCAGTTGCATTGTTACGACAAATACCGAAACAAACGCAGATCGTTTCGCTTAATTTTTAGCTGCCAACTCGTATTAATGAATTCTATATCTGACAGTACATATCTCCAGTAAGTGCATTAACGAAAAACACAAATAGCACTTTCCAGGAATGACGAGTTAGTTTTCCTGCGCTAATTCGAATTAGCTTATTTTTTTCGTCGTTCTCTATACATTTGAAAGTGATGAAAATTATTACTTACATGCTCGAACACAATTTTTACTTTAATATTAAATGTTACAAAATTAAAGAAAAATTTGTTCCCTAATAACAAAATTTTTTTCAGAGCATCACGTGCACTTCAGTGGGGGAAGCAGTCTCGTAAAAGACAACAATATTATGATACAACCACAACGACATGGACAAATTGACGCGTATCTCGGATTTTTACAGCTTCATCACAGGTAACACGCCCAAACAAAATTCTTACCCCTTTTATTTCATTATCTTTATAATACTAACCATAAGTTTAACATGATCCCAATTTCTGTACAGGTATCTTGTGGAATTTCTAATCCCTTGGAATATATGTCAGCACAGCGAAGGAAAAGCCATAGCACCAGCCATAATTGTTGGAGTGAAGAACCCCAATTGTCACATCGTTGATTTTGGACAAGAGAAAGATGGCTTAAAGTAAGACATTTATCAATGTACTTCATGAATAACATAAAACAGTCAAAACTGTTGTGGTTAAGAAGTTTTCAAGGATCTTCCTCTGTAACAGGTTGAAAATAGAGTTCCTAGCCCACAAGGAGAAGATCCTGAAAGAGGAGGTGCAAATAAGCTGCTGCAAGTCCGGGAGCCCGTTGAAAATCCAGCTGAGTTCACGTATCTTAGCGAAAGACAAGGGCACCCCGTTGCTGAGGAACGGCATTCACAGCATCGGTGTGGAGAGGCCGGAGGAAGATGAGGTCTCCGAGTAGATCTCGCGTAACGTAATGATATTTTCCGCATATCTAAGAGTCGAGTTGTTCTTTTTTCACAGGTGCTGGGTACAAAAATTAAAGAATACCTGAGATCGCACGGCCAACACCAACCTTGAACGGAAGCCAGCGGTCAGGTTCGTGAAGGAAAATCGCGCGTCCGGTTGGCAATGAAGCATTCAACAGGGGACGGCCTAATCGATGTAGTGTGTTTTGGTCGGTGATCAGGGAATGGCTATAATTAGTCGATATAAGCAATCACGTTTACCATGACTCTTTATCTTTAAAACGTAGGATACGCCCAAGACGAGCCTAATGCAATCCGCTGTTTCACCTTCAAACTGCACGGTATAACTTTTGCGAATCAAGTGCGCAGCGTTCACCGACGAGCTTTTCACAACCCCGTTGTTCTGTCGTGTCGATGTCGCAGAAGTCTATTACAGAAACGACCCTTACGATCTAGGAAAATTAATGTGTTCCTCTGATCGGCCTTTCCGATGGATCACACCGAGATATGTAATTACCGCTAAGTATCGCGATCACCTACTATTAACTTCTTCAACGAGACGTATCACGTATTGCCTAAAGTATATATACTATATCTACGATATATCCACTCACGAATCTATTTATAATAAGCCAGATTGTATTTTACTATCATTTTACATCGAGCGTAGGCTTTACGAACCACTAATCAAATACCAATTACGAAGCCGCGAGCGTCGACGCTGTTTTTCTAAATCTTTGCTAAGCCGAGAACCAATCACTGAAAAATGAACGAATTTAACGACGAACGAGGCGTTTTATTAAACGATTATCTTGCATATCGGACTCTGTCGATTTTTAATTTAAGCTCTGATCAACGTTTTTCGACCAACCTTTGCTAGCGTGAATATACTAATGTAGTAGGTAGCACCATTTTGAATGAAGCATCCCTAGCTGTTACTATACACGGTGATGCTCATAAGGGAAAGAACTCTCTGTCGGACTCCGATTTTAACCAGTCTTTGCATCTTTCTACTGTTATAATTACCTGACAATTTACAAGATACAAACAACTTTTAATTCACGAATCGGGAACTAATTTTACAATCTTCTTAATCGATCATGAGTTACTGATCGGATTGCAAAGGCTTGTTAAAATTGAAGTTGGGCTCCTTCCCTTGTCAGACAAGTCCACTTAATTTTCAATACCCGCAAAGACACACCTAGTAAATGCGGGGATTCATTGTCAGCACCGGAAGCTAGTCTTCTTCATAGGAATACCAGTCGGTCCATCGACAAACTCGCAAATATTGAAGCCAAGTCTGGCCAAGGGATGACAGTTGCTCTTCGGGTTACCCCACTTTCCCCTGAAGCTCATCCAGCCGGGCAGGATGCTGTTCTCTTCCTTGAGGAGCAGCTCTATCTTCTTCCACGTAGGCCAGGCAGTTCCAAAGCCGCTCTCGTCGTACAAACGGGGCAGCCTGACGAACTTATGCTTTCCTGGTGCTGTCCAGAGTCCGTGGGATCCGCGCGCGCTGAACAGTATTGGATGAGAACCGCCAGCGGTGAATACCCTTTCTGGGAATATGGGTTTCTGGAAGATGCCCTTTCGCGTCTCCTGGCTCTCGTAGACGAACGTGCCGCTCCGCAGATCGTATCTATAATACGCGCCAGCGTCGTGGGCGGACACGTACATCGCCGAAGGATAATTGGCGTCCTGGAACAGTTCGAACGGAAGCTGAGCGAGTGCAGAAGACCTGAAAGCCAATGAGAGGAGCAGAAGACACTTTCTAATATGAATTATGAGCATCGTGGTCGATTCATCTCGGATGTGGAACAAAAAACTGTTACGCCCTCCATTGCCAGAGCCCGGGTCTATTTTGACCTAAAGGAACAAAGTCACTCCCGCCGATTTGATTAAATGAGCATGCGTATACATCAGAAACAACAAAGAAACAAATTATCAATGACGGCAATACCGTCAAGATGCGTTTTAAAGGATAATCATGAAACTATGAACGGTAAATCGTTGCGTCAACTAAATGACATCATACGTTCCTCCCATCGAAATCGATTGACACGGATTTGCGAGGAACACTTTCAAGACACGTCTCGAAAATTGGATAAATACCATGAACGATCAATCATTTCGCCCATTTAAAACAGCGTTATCGTTATCGTCGTCGGAATAGATCGACCCGGCGACGAGGATCTTCGTAACGTCGACTATATCGTGTACCTTGAAATAAAGACTCATGTGTTCCCAATCGCCCACGTGGTTGCCGTACTCCTTCAGCATGCCCAGGCACATGCCGCCTACGGTGGGTATCGGCCAGGTACCAAAAAATCCGAGATCCAGAACGCAGACTGCCTTTCCCTCGCTGAACGGATAGAACATCCAATAGGTCACGTGAAAGCGCAGTTTCCGGGACCTGGTCCTTTTTTTCGTCGTTTTCTCGAAATCCACGATTTTCTGCGGACACACACGCAGAGTCCCGCAAACGTCAGGACGCGGCAGAAAGAGAAAGAAAGAGAGAGAGAGAGAGAGAGACAGGTCGTCCCGTTCGAGTTTTCACTCGATGGTTTCGAAACCTACCTCGCCGCCGGACTTCGGCTCGCTCCTCCACGCTTTCCCCGGAAGATTGTTCGCCAGGATTGTCGGGGACCCGAAATCGTTTTGGATCGAGTTCCTCGACGGCGCCCAGCCCTCGCCCCCCTTTCTCCGCGACCTCCTGGCCGATCGCACGGTGTTCGAGCTCGCGGCGTCCACGGGAGCGTCCGCGGCCTCGCAATTGTTGATCAGCGCGTAAACCGGCACCGATTCCGTCGGCTTCCGGCCGTACAGGAACGAGGACCGGTTGCCCAACAGCTCCTCTGTCGATCATTCAACGATTTTAGCGGCGCCACCTGATCTCTACGATCGCACTCCCCAACGGATCTCCACCCTGTTTGCCTTTTCTTCCACGACCGGTAGAGGATTTCTTTTTTATAGATCGTCGTAGCTACCGGTCATCGAAATCGGTGTTGGACAGTGCGAGCACGATCATACCTCGTTCTCATTTACCTACGTCGACTCTGGTGCGAAGGTAGTCGTCGTCGGGCTCCATGTTGTCGAGGAAGTCAGGCACCCCGAGCGGCAGGAACAGTTCGCCAGGTGCCAGCCACACCAGGGGCGCCCAGTCTCGTACCAATTCCTTGACTGTAATTAACGCGCGATTAATGTATCTTGCTCTCCGAAGCCTGACCGGTGATCTTGAATAATGTATGTAAGCAACCAGCGCGATCCTAACCGGAGAAATGCTAAATCGCCGTCTCTAGGAGCAGCACAGCTTAAAAGTCGGTGGAACATGCGACATGCAATCTCTTCTGTCTGTACAAACGGGTCCCGGCAGTTGAAACTGCCATTTCCGCGGCAGCGAAATTTTTGTCGTTCGTGCAACACGCGCGTCGCGTTTGATTTCTCCGAACCGGCTCGCGTCGCGCGCGAGCTTTTGAATGATCATCGGACGAGGATTACTTGAAATATACTAATTACGTCTCGAACGGCCGCGGTATGGTGTACGGCAGCGGGTACGAATGTATATTGGAATCGAGCCGGTTAAGTGGAAGAGAAACGCGCCTTTATAACCACGGTATATCGCGCACGATAATGACGGTCAACGATACGAACGTCACTGCCAGCCGGCAATAATATAATATGTTTATTAGAAAGCCTGTTCCTCCGCGACAGCGTCGTATGTGGTACATAGATTTAGGTAGAAAAAACGAAAAGCCTTGGGGGATTCTGCTTTCATTGCGTCTCGAGTGGCCAGGATGCACCCACGTGCAGCCTGCGAACGGGCGACCTGCGTCGAATCGTTGCATCGTTCTCACGATACGGTTCGCTTTTGGCCGATCCACGGACTTCGATCTGACTGCCGAGTGCCGCGGACACGTGACCGAGCGAACCGGCACCAAAAGCGTGACCTTTCACGATCCTCGCATTGTCCTTGAACCGAGAACACCTGAGCGCGAACGTTGGACTGCTATGGACGCCTCTTGGCCCACAAAAGTCGCTCGACGCGCATCGACGTGAAATATTATTTAAACAGCACTCAACAGAAGTATGAGCATCGCTTCTATAAGGATACTAAGGACGTTCGCGTACGAGAGTCCTCGGTTAATCTTGCGCGAACGATCAAACAAAACGCGAGCGGTATCTTTGCCTGCATTGTATCGTTATTGTATCGTGTGTTTAGTTTCGCCGCGATTACAGAAGATAACTTCTTCGTTCTACGTATTTTCCGTCACTTCTTTTCGCATACATCGAACTTCGTTCGAGTGGCCAGCATCGATAATTCTCACGAAAACAAAGTACATAACGTGACTAATAATGTAACCGTGACTACAGAAGAAACTATAGACTGATCGGGTACACGCGAACCTAATTCGAATTCCGACCGCCTACGAGCACGTCTCAAATAGGTCGACCATTGGATAACACGTATGGACGTCGTCAAGGTGTATGATCCGAGCGACACAAAGAATGACAGTGCTGGAGAGAAAAAAAAAAGGGACAGTTCGCTCGCGAACGTTGCATTCAATAAAACGCTTTCACCGTTGCTTGTCCACGTGTACGCGGCACCACCGACCATTCATCGTCGTCGAAATCATAATTATTATGCATGTGCTACCGACGACGGCACGCCCGCCATATTCGGTGTTACGGCACGCCGCCCATTATGCTTCCGCAATTAAAGATCGCGCGGCGCGTCGGTTAACGGGAACGGGTTTCTCAAAGCGGTGCCGCTTTGTTCCCAGAGTTAATTGTTTCGTTGGTTACCCTAGACCGTGCCGTAATTACCGGCGACATCTTTCCCCGAGGCGTGAAAAAAACGCGTATCAGATTCCTCGCCGAGATAAAACGCACGGGCGAAAGAACGACGGTGTTACGGTATCCTCTGTAATTGCTCACGCGAATCCACGAACCATTCTACTAAATCTTTCGTATTTTTATACAAGCTGCGATTTGCGCTGTGTACGCTGATTTTTAATCGGAATTCGGCAACGAATGCTTTAGAATTTCCTCAAATTTTCTTTAGAGCGAAAAGGAATCGGAAAATTTGGAAAAAAAAGGATTTATTATCGCTGGAAAAAACCTAATTTTCTAGCGATCGATTTGACTGAACGGCTATTTATGTTGCGTCTAATGAGAGGATTTCAACAGGGACAGTTTAACAGTTTTGCTGCAATTGTTTTGAAATATCGTTCGGATCTTGTTCCAGTTACGATTCCCCAATGGCGCAGAGTTCGCCGGAAGGACGGATGGAATCGGCAATTAATCGACAGGTCAGGAATATCGATTTAATTATCGGCGACGGTGGAGCGGGAGCGTCCCTGAGCGAACGAAATCGAAGATTAATGGAAACTTGTTTCGGGCTGGCTGACAATCGTGAAACCGGTCCGAGAAATGGGACGATCGATTTTCAGCCTCGCAGCGATCCACGGGCCGCGGTGTTTTGTCCCTGAAAATAGATCGGCCGATTTCGCCGAACCCGGAGCGTTTGTTGTCTCGTTATGGGGCCCGTGCTAACTCACGGCAGTAATTCGCGTGGCCGTCGGACCAAACCGTTTCACCGTTAATCCACCGGCTCTCAGCTTCCAACGGTCACCATAGCGATCGCGTCCCGATTCGAGACGCTTCGATGTCAGCCACACGAGCCCGTCTTGGTCATCCAGCGATCGTGCTGGATGACGCGAGAACAAAAATTGCGAACCGGAATCGGAAAAACTGCAGCCAGACATCGGGAACGTTCTAATTAATCGAACTTAAAGCGTGACCGACGAAGACTCCGCGGTACGAACTCCTTTAACGCGGAGAATTTCGTTGATTTCGTTTCTCGAGCTAACGCGGTACTGAACAATTTTTAAACGATAATCTTTGCGACCGATAGCTTTGCGACCGGTTGCGAGCTCTTTAGCATCGACTGCTACTTTATTGCTACCATCGCGCTCCTTTATAGCGTGCTCACGTTAAGTGGAACCTCTCAGAATAATATCCGACGAGAGGTCGCTTTTTTCAACATAAAACGGCTTTAACGATTCTTAATCGTTACTCGTATCTTCGAACTTCGATAATCCACCGGCCGCTCCGAAAGTAATAATATTTTTTATGCGAAACTTTCATAACAGCAGGGCTTCGAGCGAATGCGCAAAGACTAAACGGAACTGTTCAAGTAACGTAGCAGATCAATGTTGCGCATTTGCAACATTTCCGAATATTCGAAAGGCCATGTATTTAAGGAGCGATGCGATTTTATCGCGGATTTCGTTATTTTCCGTATTCGTTGCCTCTGTCGGCTCCAAAACGATAAACCGTGAAATTTGTGAACGTTAGATTGCGCGCGCAACTAGTTCAAATGTTTAAAAAGCGGCGGTCATTCGAACCCGATATCTTGGGGTCCCTTACCTCGCTCCTCCTCGACGATTTCCGTGGAAACGGCGATCACATGAACGATACACAGAACCGTCAACAAACACTGCATCGTATCCGACGCGTACGCGCATTTTGACGACCGCGGGTCGGCGAGTCCGTGAAACTTTTGAATTTTTAAGGCCCGGTTATCGTCGACGCGCCATTTTCCCGCCACTTTTGCATCCCTACGCCGCCGCCGCCGTCGCCGTTTGATCACCGGTAAACCCGCTTCGAGGTTAACGATCGGCGTCCTGCTACCAGCCGGAGTGTTTCTCGGGTAACTGACCGGTTCTCTCGCAGGTTCCGCCGCGCCGCTCACCGGACAAACATTACCATCACTTACCTTTCCGCGATCCTCGGCACGCTGTTACGAGGGAAAATGCCACCGTAACAAGCCAACCCCTTCTAACGGCTCGATATTTCGACCCCGCTGCCCACGTTACCGCCGTCCGGCCGCGCGTAGAACAGATTAACCCGGGGGTGTCAAACTCAAAAGCTAACTTCGGCCAAATAAACAATGCTTAAGTTTAGGTGGGCCGCAAAAAAAATCAACGTTCATAGAAACAAATATTTTTATTTTGACTAGTACATTGTAATAAACATGTATAAAATTAACCCTTTTAGTGCCGGATAATAATAAATAATATAATATATAAAATATAATAAATAATATATATATATTATATATATTATATATAATATAATATATAATATAATATAATATATAATAAATAATAACAAAATTTTACACATTTACAATATATAAATATAAATATTTATGTTATTATAATGAAGTATTATACAAAATTTTATCACAAATATATTTATGACAACATAATTTTGTTTCAGCAATGTTATATTACCTATAACAATTACGTATTTCGGAAGAGATAATCCGTCCGGCGCTTACCATGTACCTTCCACTTATTTTTTGTTTGTTGTGTAATATTATTTATCTTGTTACAAAATATATCGGAAGGTACATACTTTGTAATAAATGGTCTATATAGAATTATGATGAAAAGATGACTTTTTGTATGTGCAAATACGTTTTGTAAGAGAGAGAACTGGACTTTTACTTTCTCTATGATTTTTTATACCTTTGTTATTTATATAATTTTCAATGAATATAGAAAAACTAGTGTCATTGTTTTGTTCTCTATCTCGTCCTTAATTTACTGCTTTTTGAATATCATGTAAATATTGTTTCTCGTTTGGTTTTTACGAGCATTTTCCCAAAGCCTAGTAAAACCGTGAAATTTGGCCGGTTATTCTCACATAGGCACCTCTTTTTCGCATGGCACTAGAAGGGTTAAATTATTGTTTACGTCCTGATACTTGACATCTCTTCTCTGATACTATCTCTCCTATTTCGGGAGAAATTTTATTGGCCGAGACTACTTTCAACATTTCTAATTCACATTTCTATTTTATTTTTACTTTGCGTCGGATATATTGACTGGGCCGCAAAAATGTTCATCTCGGGCCGCGAGTTTGACACCCCTGGATTAACCCATTGACTGCCACGCAAATTTAGCGCGTCTCGCCCTGGGTGCCCTGGTTTTATTTGAAAGAAAACATGAAAAGTTTTACAAAATATAATAATATTAAGTTACTGATATAATATTGCAATGGCATTTACAGTATTTTTTTTTATTGATAATCAATATGCACACTCTGTACTATATACATTTTTCATTCATCCTTTCTAATAGTTCCTAACTCAAATAGCCATTTGTAGCCAATCTAAACTTGCAGCACCCACTACGAGATATCTCGTAGCTGGCAGTTTTGGTACAGACGCTTTCTTACGAGATATCTCGTAGTTGCCAGTCGATGGGTTAATCTGTGGGAGACTGTCGGTCATTCGTCGACTAACGGTGTCGGACAATTTATGGATCGGAATCAAATGAAAGTCAAGAATGATCGAACTGCGTTAGAGGCTTCGTTTTCGAGGAAAGTGCGCCTGAAAGTGCGCTTGCACTTAGCCGATGATTGGCAATACAGGCTTCGCTACAAAGAGGAGCTCGCTGTACGTTTAGAGAGGATAGATTGCTAGAACTTATTTGCTGTCAGGATACTATAAATTATGTTGAGATGTTCTGTATTTTGGGATTTAGTATTCTAATCATATCTAGCTTTTGAACATTCGCAATTTGAACGCTCGAATCAAGGATTTACCGTTCCTGGCTTTTCTGAATTGATTAAGGTGTTCTTCTTGAAGTGTTCGATGATTAAAAAGTATCTGGTAGCTTCGCTCAAGGGTCGCGTTATACGGTCTAAAGCAATAACTCTTATTATTATTTAACTCTTATTATTATCTTATCATTATTATTAACTCTTATTATTATCTTATTGTTATTATTAACTCTTATTATTATATTATTATTATTATTAACTCTTATTATTATCTTATTATTATTATTATAGTCACTCACATTATAGAAAGTCGATGCCGATATAATTAGACTACGGACGTCTATGTCAGAGATGGATGAATTAAATGGTTTGAAGTAAGAATATACGAAACACCGTTGAAAGTATCAATAGAAACAAAATAAGAAAATTGAAGAATGTTTTCATTTAGAAAATGAAAATCAATTTATGGTTTACTATAATGTATTTAGCAAAAATGGAAAAGAAGAATTGTGATGAATAGTTCGTGATATTGTTGAGCCGGGATTCGAGGAAACCATATGTGATGAGTGAAATGGAAAGCGGGTTGCACGTATGTTTGCAACAAGTGTGCACACCGTTCTTCGCGCCCATTATTTTCCGTTCATTTACTGTCATACGTTTCCACGTCGTTGTTTCGCCATGTTGATTCGGTTCTCGTTTTGTTTGTTTTAACTAAAGCACGGTTTCGTAAGCGGTTCACGGCACGTAAAATTACTGTTATACCATTAAAGTTACCGCAGCTCCGCTTTCTCTTCCGTAATTTTTACACTGTCAAGGACGCGGGTTCCCGGTTATTCGAAAATAATACAATTGCTTGTATTGGCAGGCCAAGATACAAGGATTTCTTGATAAATAATTACTTGATGTGATATTAAAAAAGGACATATTTATTAACGTTTAAAAATTTCCAACAGCGACTTAACTGGTTCATACAGAGTTCGTTTTGCATACAGAGCATAGTCTTAATTTATATTTTCTTATTCTTTTGTAATCCATATTGCAAACTGTACAAGTTATAATTTAGTTTACATTATAGTTTCAGATCAACAGTTAAAAAGTAAATCGTGCAATAATCCTGTTAACTACGAAAGATGAATGTCGATAATATTAGTCTATTACTAAGCTGAACATTTCTGTTAGTTTATTGTATGATAGATGAACACAATTTGAGGACGTACCCTCGAAAGTGGGAAAAACGTTATTATTAACAGTATAAATAATATATGGTCAATTTTTGTTACACTTTTGTAAAAATAATTTCATAGATGCAAAACTTTCATATTATTTTGAAGATAATAATTTTTTTATGTAATGATGGACACACAATATCTATATCACTGTTTTGTCGTACATGTATAAAGTCCGCTGCCTATAGTTATTATACCTAACAAACTTCCTATGTTCCTATATTTAAAATTAGATATACAATTATTGTTAACTTAACCTTACAGATATGTTATAATTAATTTTTGCCAAAAAGGAAGTTGTCAAAGAATTTTCTTCATGATGATTTTCTTAAAATAACTTACGAAATTTGCAAAAATATAACAAAGCGTTTTTTTGAAAATAGATATGACTTAATTTTAAAGGTTTGAGATGATGCTACATATTAAAGTTGTTACTTGACACATATTCATTGCGTGCGACAAAGAAAACATTCCCAATATAATAAAAATGTAGCAGTCTATAATAATTTTCATAGCTAAGTCCATGAAACAAGTTTGCGTCACATAAAATCTTTACATAAACCTTTATTCCCCTTTTTCCAACCTTTGAGTAGCTTGTTCTCTGACTAAAAACTTATTGAATAAACAACTTACAATATCAAAAAGTAAGAGTTTAGTTATTGTACAAACTCAATTGTATCATCCTCTTTTGTAACACAGGAACACTGTACTAATGTTCGATACCAATCCGACCATCACGCTATTACCAGTTAATTTTAAAGGATTATTTACTACATTTCTTGTCAAATTATTTTACCAACATCAATAATTAAGACCACGGGAGCAAAAAATAAATAAACTCAATCCTTTTATACACACACAGTATTTTTCAAAATTTACTAGATTATACTACACGAAATTTGCTGGTATAAATCTTATTAATCTTTCAATTGCTCTGTATCTCTCTGTAGTAATTACCTAGTATTACTTTAAACTGTATTAGACTTATTAGTTATTTAAGCTACTTATAAGAAGTCATCAAAGCTGCACTGCTTGAACACTTATTCCGTCATTAGCATCCAACACTAATTAATAAGTGCTGTCTTAATGAACCGGGTCTCGATTTGTAAATCTTTTTCTGCAGATCGGGCAAGATTGCTGTAAAATATTTAAATCAAATTAATCGACTAATCTACTTTTCAAATATAAAGACATATAATAAATATTGTTAATTGTTCAAGGAGATGAACAAGCTTACAGCTAGAAATTACCTGATTCGAGTCAGTTCTCCAACGTATAATACATTCAGTATGAAACATATGATTGCAATGCAACGCGGCTGTTAACCCGATACACAATGGTTCTAAACATATTGTACAGTTTTCTGTTCGTAGCTTATCTCTCATTTGCTGTGCTCTAATCGACGAAATCACCGAGAACATAGAAAAAGCAGCAAAAATTTCAATTAATTTTACTGCTTCCAATTCAGGTTTATTCACAGAACTTTACAAATTTAAGGAGATCCTTATTGCATCTTAACCAAATTGTAACCTCTTTTTCATAGGTACGTAAGGTATAAATAAAATAAATAAATGAACAAAACAAAAGATTATTCTGTTCGGCAAACTTTTGTAAACACTTAATAAATTTAGAAAATACATACGAATTTCCGTAACAAGATGATCTCTTGTCGTTGTACGACGAATTGGATCTTTGTCGTTCTCGTCCGTTGGAGTATGACTGATGGTATTGTTGTTCTTGTTCTCGTTCTCCACTCATATAATACATCAAAAATGATACAAACGCAACACCAAGCGCAACAAACGCTGCACCTGCGTACGACATTTTTCGTTATTGATCCTTATGCGAACCACAAAACAATGTAACAAAATCGTGAATGTCGGTTGAAAGTTTCAGGGAATTTACAGGAATTCCCGGGTTAACAAAAATACGTAGGAAGGTGCATACATCCGCCAAACGCTAAGGCCCCCTTCTTCGAACATCTGAATGCATGCAATAACAACCCTGCGAAGGCACTAACAAAGATATTCCTGGTTCTTTGCGGTAGTACACATCGACCTCATTGGTACATTTTTCTGATTGAAATGTATTTGATACCATACAAACTTAGTGAACAAATCGCTTTTATTGCGCCAAATTAAATGGTTCTTTAAATTAAATCTATTTCCTTCTCTAGTAAGTTGTTAAATAACCAAGTAAAACTGAACACTGATTCCCATGTGAAATAAATGGGCCCCCATTGATACTTCGCCGTTACATGCTGGCCAATGCAAACTTTATAATTTATCCAGCTAACTCGCGTGAAGCTGGCTCACCATGAAAAACCAATATTAATGAAACATAGCTCAAAAAATTACTCTTTAATTACCGTAAATGCTCACCAATTAGTTTTAATTGCTCACTTATCGTTTTCGAAAAATATCTGAAAAACTTTGTCAGACTTTATCAGGCTAGTGACTTTTATAAGAGGCTGGGGATTTTTTCGAGATATTGTACTGAGAGAGAGAGAGAGAGAGAGAGAGAGAGAAAGAGAGGAGTCCTTAACTGAGGATTTATGACTTCTTGATCTAAAGGACTCGAGATTTCAATTCATCTTGTGTATACGAAATTGGAGAAGATCTTTCGAACGGCTACGTGATTTCTCTTGTATCCCTTAATTAGAGTCTCGCCAACTAAACTCTCGTCGAGGAATTTTTCGTGGGAACTCTCATGTTATTTCTTTACCTGTTCTAAACTATTGCGCTTGAACGAAAATATGCATGTATCTATAAACTATACCTCAACGTTCCATTTTACATTTGAATTTCCTTCTTATCGCCATTTGTCGGAGCATATATTTTCTACACTAGCGCTACAGTAAATTGTAACCATGATCGTGTAGCAGAGAGGGGGTACATATTAGTACCAATGCATACACAAGGAAATAAATATAGAAACATCATTGTTTTGTTTAAGATATTTGTTAATTTCTGCATTGCTTGACATTTCAAATATTCGATCGACACTGTCGCATAATGTAAAACTCGAAAGGTTAGGTACAAAAAGTTTTTAAATCAATATCTATTACCATTTTTATTCGAAGATTATTGTAATTTGATAGGTGGTATCTCTTTACAAACCGTATTTTACAGGATGCCAGGAATTAATGATATTACTACTGCAAGTGGACTTTGTGTTTTGCTATCAACCGAGTACATAGATATATGTATTTGTTTATTAGAAATATTCGTGAGACACTCTCAATGTGATCTATTTCGAGCGCTAGCTACATAAAGATAAGACTAATTTATTCGTAATGCGTAGATTATTTATTCGTCAACAGTTATAAAATAAATATATCATTTAACTATTTACAAATTGACTATATAATTCCGAGAAATGAAAATTCGTCCGAAAATGTCACGCTGACATTTTCGAGGGACACCAGTTTTTGCCGTTCTTGACGTGTTTTACGTGCGAATTTCAAATTTCTCAACTTGTGACTTGTAGACTTATAATCGAGTTTGTTAACAGTGCTAACGTATGAGCTAGTACGAATAATAAATGAAACCATTGTTTTGAAAACATTTTCGTCACAGGGACGTGTCCGATGAATCGTCGTACTTCACGCAAACGAAAATTCGTTTGTATTTTATTTGGATTGAATTAATTTTAGATCTGGCAATCTAAAGTCGGCTTAGAATGCGGTGGTGACAATGTAACAGGTGCTATAGACGTGATCGAGCGTTGGATCGATTGTAATGCTGGCGTTTGTTGTTTAATTAACATGTGTCTCAACGATTGCGCTTCCTCTCGAAGTGTTATTATCTGTGCCTTCAAAATCGCGTTCTCATGCTCCAGCATCGTCGCCCGTAATGCGATCTATAAAATAGCAATGTTATTAGTGGTACACGTGGAAACGCATCATACATTTTCCTAATTTTCGACTCACATGGTCCTCCCGAATTTTTCGAGCATCCCTAGACTTTTTCGCGGCCTGATTATTACGTTTGCGTCTTTCATAATATTTCTCATCCTTCTGATCGTCGGGAATCGGCTTTTTTTCACTCCTGGGTCGTCGTTGCGCGCTCGTGATTCCGTTTGTACCCAAAAAGTGACGGGTCACCATGCCACCTGTTTTATCAAAACATATATTTTGATATTCGTTAAAAATTCGTCTTTTTCATATACATAATTATTTTATTGCTTTTAGGAAGAAACAAAAATAAATGCCCCGGGTGAGGATCGAACTCACGACCTTAAGATTATGAGACTTACGCGCTGCCATCTGCGCTACCGAGGCTGTTGAAAGCGATGTTTTTTAAATTCAAATAAATGGGGTAAATTCTTAATTTTATTATATCGATGAATTTATTTATTAACTTACCAGCATTAACATTCGAGAACGGTTGTGGCACGCTTATAGATTGCATCAAAGGCGGCACGCTTGATAAAAATGGTGGTGGAAGTAGGGAACCCGGAAGGGAGAAACTCGAAGACAACGCTGAAGGTGATAGTGGAGATGGCGTTCGTCTAATCGTAGTATCTCTTGCACTAGAACTTGCTAGAATGTCAGGCTCCCCCAAATTATAGTCTCTGGAATTGTACGGCTCGTATCTACACAGGTCTGATAATTAAATATGATTATTTACAGCTTATAAAATACTCTTACTGTTTGTTATTCAGGCAAGGGAGTTAAAGAAGCCTTCGAGACACAAATCATAAGTGTTGTATATTCATTATTATCGGAAATAGATGTAAAATGAAGCGTACACTATAATAATTGTAAAGAAAAGTATTACACGGCACGTTAGGAAACTCTTTAATTAAGGGAGCGACGCCGCAGCACACTATGACAACCCACACATAGAAGAAAAGCCATATGCGTGTATTAGTTTTAGAGGTTTACATCCACTGATTTTGGAACCATTTGATATTCCAAATAGAAAACTCGGGTCCTCTCGTAACTTGGGACTGTTATCGTTAGACACCACAATCCGAGCTTTGAGTTTAAGCATTGACACATTGTATACTATCGTATCTTTCTTTTAAATGGTTCTGAAAATATTGATTTGTTATTGCTCTCGGACAATAAGTCCGAGTTTTAATGTTTCAAACTGTGCTAAATTTATGGTAGGATAAAATCAGAAGATTTCAGGAAGCACATGCTCCATGGATGCATCTACATATATTTTCTTCACTTTCCCTTTCTCGAGCGTGTTTTATATGTCTGCTACGCAGTTTGATAAAGGCGATGACCGTTTGAGATTAACGGGCAAGAGAAGCTTGATCAAGATAAAAAAAACTGCAAAAATGTTTCTCTTGCACGAGTTCGTACATGAGTGGCTGCGTGATCAAATAAATAACACGCCGCGGAAGTCAGATTCTTAACATTTAATTGCACATACACATTTCAGGAGAAAGTGCAGCAAGCAGCTTTATACCTTTGTACTAATTAAATGGGGACTAATTTAATTAGTATTTATTAGAACATCGTATTTTAAATTAAAAAATTTCACCAATTTCGTTATGTTTAGACATACAATGTGACTGTAAAATAACTTATTGCTTTTTTATTGTGCCAGAGCTGAATTCCATCTATTTTGAAGATGCTGAGTACCAACAGCCCCTGTGGCCTAATGGATAAGGCATCGGTCTCCTAAACCGGGGATTGTGGGTTCGAGTCCCACCAGGGGTATTCAATTTGAATATATTTTTTTTCTAATTCGCAGTACTATTTATTATGTCACTTGTTCAATCGCCATTCAAACATCGGCTAAGAATTCAATTTATTTAATAAGAAGAAAATTATGCAAATACTGAATGTTCTGCAGAGCGCTAGTATTTTTTTTTTAATTTAGAACTTCTGTTTGTTTATTATAATTAATGTTTGCAATAATATTAACTAGTTCTGAACAATTCGTGGTATGTCAAATTAACAGAAACAGTACGTAATGGAAAATTTTACTAAAAATTATATAGTCATGTTAATAAAAATCATAAAATAATTAATTCATTCTATTTTATGTTGTTAACAGATACAAGAGTAGAAGACTAATGAAAATATTGAAAAAAATAAACCTCCACCGTGACAATGTGTCAAATTGGCACATTGCCGTGACCAGGATTCGAACCTGGGTTACTACGGCCACAACGTAGGGTCCTAACCACTAGACGATCACGGCTACTGGAGGATTTGGAAACCACTTGGAAATTCACGTACATCAATGATAGTAGCGACCAACTTGTTCACTTGTCCGTGACTTTAAGTTCTCGTGCCACGTAATTACAACTTAAACGGATGTAAAATTTCGTTCCAGATATATCAAATTGAAAAACCAACACGAAAAAATCTGAATTAAAAAATATAGAACTCTCATTTATGTAACGATTAATAAGTATATGATTGGAAATACTAAGCACAGAATGCAAACAATTTAAAATTGTTGTCTGATTTCCAGCGAACTAGCAGAAATATCAATATGAACATCGCATCAGTTGGTAACAAATTTTACGTAATATTTATGCATTTCGAACGTAAATAAGTTTCATAAGTTTTGATTGCAACTTTCAGTGAAATTACAGATAAATGAATATAAACGTTAAATGAATTGACAATAAAACGTGATAAATATTTATGCGATGCAAGAAGCGATAAAATAAAGAAAAAAAAATAAAAGTACGGAAACAACAATGGATACATAATTTCAGGTGAAGTAATATGAAATATGTGGAATCTGTCTATTCATAAAATTAATAAATTACCTGAGGATGGCGCGAACAAGCTGTAACTCCTTAGAAGATGCAACGCAGAGAACGCGCTGGAAACTGAGCTTCCGGTGCAGATCGTTCGTGCGGGTGCGTGGGAGGTCATTCCTTCTAAAGTTCTCTAAAATTCTAGGCCACAGATAGATCCACAAAATTCCGTAACAAAGATAACGACTATAAAATATGAAAGACAACCAATTCTTTGGAAACGTTCGAATTACGCGGTAAAAATGTTTTTCAAGCTATCCATTTAGTGACAAAATCACGAAGCCATTTTCCCGATTTCACAATAGCAGTATCTTGAGAGGCAACTGAATGGTCTTGAAGAATGTCTGACTCCATTGCATGCTGATTGATCCACTGGATCCAGTTATTTCGGTCCGAGAAAAAGAGTCCAACAAAATCTTCGCCGACACAACTTTGCCAAATTACAGAGTAATATTGTTGTCTACTTTCTCCAGTCTTTATCGAATTCAAAATTTTGTAAGATTGATATGAAGAGTATTTTATGACGCAGATATCAAAGAATTTTCAAAGAAGGGTGCCTTCGGTTACGTTCTTCAATGTAGAGTACAACTTGTCTTCGCGGCGAACTGTCTTCGTCGATGTTTCTGGAGCCTGTTGACGTTTCGCGTCACGTGCTGCTTTGCCGCATACCTCGCCACCAGAAGAATTTCCAATTCGCCGTCGCGAGGGGTGATTCCCGCCCCTCGGTGCATGCGCAACGTTAAGCGGAACGGTTGTTCCGCCCCTGGAGCATTAGGGGCGAGCAACCGGGCCGGGCTTCAAGTGGTCAACGAAGGCAAAAGCCAGGCGGATTGACCAATCCCGTGGAAAAGCAATTGTTCACCCTAGGCGTATCACGACCCTAATCTGCCATCCGTTGTGATAACAGGTCGCCCGGCTTTTTGCGTCTTGCATGACTGAATGACGAAGAAAATCGTTCTAGAACACTTTTGCTGATCGAAGAGATGAGCAACATTTTTGAAACAATAAGCAAATGAAAATTTTAATCATATATTACAACAGTAATTAAATGCATCTAACTGTTGTAGCAACCTAGAAATTATATGCAAGAGTATTTGAAACTATTGATAGTGGTAGAGTCAGTGAAGCTGCAGTAATTAAATTATTTCAATAATAAAAGTCTACGTTCGCAAAGGGAATCGTTGCTAGAATCAATTTTCAAATTGCAAATAATACAGCAAGTAGTGGATGTGTCTAGAACACGGCAATGGTGTTGCATGCAACAACGTTTACCACGATGTTCACTTGTTTGTATTTATAATTCCATACACAGGGATGTTGCACCCAGCCAAACAGAAAGCTACGTGTGTCTAATGTCTCTGGGACAATCGACAGCTGACACGTTTCTGCCGCCCACGAATGTTTAATGGGTCGGTAATTATTACCAAGTAAATTAGACGACAACGACCAACATTGAAGCGGAGGAGGGGATTGCAACATTGATGAGTACGCGGCAGGCTTGGAATTGTTTTTTTTAGTCGGGTTCATCAATGTTGCAGTCGCGTATGCCCCGTCCAAGCTTTTAATTAACGACTGAACGATCGATTGTTTTACGATGTAGACGAACCTCCTGCAGGTTGCAACACAATGTAACAACTATGTAGCAAGGTAGAAAGATAATGAACCATTTAAAATTGCAGATACGATATTGTGAACATTTTCTATATCATTCTCTTGCAGGCTCGATTCAAGTTTCCATGCGGAACGGAATGGAGGAATAACAAAACTAATGTTTGTGATTTATACCGAAAGTTCGAAGAAATTACATATCTGTAATTATACACGGAAAATTTGCAGGTGCGACGGGGATTTACGTTGCCGCATGTCCCGTTTCGTGTCTCGAAAAGGGACGAGCAATTTGGAGTATATTGCCTGTTCTTTAAGCCGACGGGGGTGGGCGAGCATCGCGGGTTAAATAACGCCATTTGTTATCGTAATATCTAATTTGGTAGTGAAGGGTGATGCGCCTCTGCCATGTGGCCGAGATCTCACGAGGCCGCAGTACAGGTGTCTTAGGAACAACAGTTAGCTGCCGGTAAGTTCGGCAGGTGTGCCGCAACAAGAAACGATACGAATGATTTTTCGGCTAATGTAGAACCCACGATCTTTTCACAGTGAAGCAAACGAGGCTACGAGATCCCTAAATGTCCACTTCATAAGCTACGATTGCATAAACTAATTTTTCATAAATCTTTCACCATCACAATCTCCTCTTAGAGTCTCCAAAAATATTCAAGCATATTCTCATTACATTCTATGGAAGCCTATTAATAGATTTCTTAATGACTGTATTATATTGATATATTATTATATAATATGACAAGAAGGTAAAATATTAAGAAGCTACGGATTTAGCTATGGATTGCAGGTATTTGAAAACTGTTAAACAATGCCTGAACTTTCGGCTCATCCAAAGCTATTCACTTAAAAATAGGAAGACGGACATCTTTGCCGGTTCTTATCTTTTAGATTGAATGTCTGTGTAATGTAATTCAACGTTTCAGGTCTTATCGGGATCAGCCATTTTCTCGCGGAGTAATTACCCGCTGGTATCGTAGATCGTAAAAGGATTGAGTAAACCGCCGCTGGATCGCTCGATCGAGCGTCCTTCCGAAAGGAAGGGGCGAGCAATCATCAAGATTGTCCCGACATTACGAGCAGCGTTCTCGTCGCTTCGTCGGACGCTCGTTATCATTATGTGGCTGGATTCGTGATAGCAAACGCCCCCGCGATCGGCCGGCCTCGTCGGTCTCTCGCTCGCTTGGTCTGCTCGTGCGAACCTGGACACCTGTTCGCGACCATCGGGTAACGTGACATCACGTCATGTGACCTCCTCAGCCCCGGAAACCCCTTGAGCCCCCGTGAGGAGACGCGACCTCGCAGCTAATCCGCCTAATCGCTGTCCTGGAAACGACGGGTTGCACACCCGAACGCTGTTGTCGCGGCCCGTCATCTAGTTCCGCGCCCTTTCCTCTTTCTATTCGCGGTTCTTCGAAGGTAGGTCAGCCAGGTGCACGCATTATCATTATTATTATTATTATTGGACCGCGAATCTTTCAATTCGTCCACTGTTTCAGATTGTAGCCGAAAGATTAGAACAACAAAGAGGAGATTCTACGTTTCCCGCAGACCAAAATCTTTGAAACGAAGGAATTCTGCCGCCGAAGATTCACGGTGCCGCCTCAACAAGTATTCTCTTCGTCCCGAGGAACTTCGGTTCTCCGTTCTGGAAGGCAAATCAACACGAACAACGGGTGTCACGCACAACACCGTGTCCTACACCGGTGAACGACAGGGTGGCGAGGGGGTCGCGTGTCTGCCCCTTAATTTTATCCTACGTCCCGGTTCACCTCCTTCGCGTAGCTCCCTTTGCACCCCTGCAAACGGAGTCACGAATCGCGACGCCCGGTTGTTTCACAACACGAGCAAAGTTATCTCATCAAGTCGTCACGAGGACGCGCCTCGACCCCCTTGCCTACCGCCTCACGACCCCCCCCTGCCGACCCCTGCCTAAGCCCTCTTGCTAGCTCGCCGCTCTACGTTGCAAAAGACGCGATTAAACTTTTTCTTGCTTCGCCCGCTCGTCTATTTACGGTCTCGCCTCACCCCCTCCCCCTTAGGGGTACGTTCGGTGTCAGGTGTACCGATTAGCGGTTTTCTTGTTCGGTTACCTCGTTTGCGCTTCCTCCGCGCGATTCACCCTTTCCGTCCGGGAGACTGTTGTTCTTTTGTTCCGTTTAACTTCTTCGAATTAGTCATCGATCCCGTGAAATTATTCGATAGCGAGTGGACAAATGTATTCAGCGATACCGGCAATTATCATGCGACCTTATGCGAGAACGTCGCGAGAACTAGAAGATGAATGCAGGAACATGATCGGAAAATGTAGAAAATGCTCGTTGCTCATTGCAGGATGACCAGATAGCAGCTCACATTGGTAGAAGTTCATTTGGAAAGGAAGTACATGGTTGCAGGTTTCCCGGACTTCGTGGGAAAATAAAACGAAGAACACGAAGTAGAACGCGCCCAGACGTTTTTCCTTTTTTTTCCTCGCGTTTCGGAGAAGGCTGTTTCCCGTACGATAACAACGACGAGCCAAAAATTGCCTTGACGAGTGCGGATAAGAACCGTGCCGGCGCGGTAAGCCGCAATTCGCCGACAGCCTGGGAAATGAAGGGTTGTGCATGCCTTCCGCACCGTACGCGGGGTCCAAACAGCCTAAATGATTAAGTTTTAGGTGTTGAGGAATTGCTGTTCCAATTAATCCACTTCGGGACCAACGAATTTGTATTTAATCCTGGCGTGCCGGCGAAGGTCCCCAGGGCTCGTAGGTGAGATTTCAAATACTCGAAGTCGGGCGAAACAATTATGTAACTTCCACGGACCGTAATTAACTACCGATTGAATGTGTAGGAGATCGTGTCCGCCATTGTCCTCAAATTTCTTGGGAAGCCGTCGCATTGGAAAGAAACTGCGACGTATGTCCGAGCGAAAGGTGAAAGAGGAATCCTATAGAAAGCTGAAATTCCAGCGTGCACAGACGGGCAGAAAGAAAGTAACATCGGTGATCGATGGTGGACACCGTGTAATTTCATTCTAATATCGTTGAAGCATACCCCGGTGGTCGGATAATTTCCAGCAATTTGCAGCGCGACGCTTTGAAGCAGCGTCCATTGGAAAAGAGAGAGGACGCTTCCGCGTGCGGATATCGTCCAAGCGGTTGGCTCCGATTAATATTTTACGCAAACACATTCCCCCGTCCCACGATCAGAGGCTCCTCCTATATTTTTTCCCAACACACCGCCTCCTGACCGCGGCGCCAGCGTTATTTCAATTGCAAATCGATAAAGCCGCGCGGTAAACACAGTCACACAGACCGAAAACTTCCCGAGCTCATGTAATAACATGAAGGCGAGATGGTGCCGATAGGGTCTTAACAAATGGGCCGATCTGATGTGTCGATCCACGCCGCTCGCAACCGTATTCGATAACGACAAACGCGTGATGAATGTGTATTCGTGAATCCCGAAAAAGAACGCGACAAAGGCGGTTCTCGATCGAGCACATCCGATTACAAATGTAACGAGCACAATTTCTGAACAGCACTCGAATTCATATCGAAGCGTCATCGGTGCTGACAGTCTGCAGATTCATGCGACTCGCGGAAAACGGAGAAATTGTTCGATCAAAGTTCTGTCGACGTCATCGTCGTCGTTCCGATCATGGAGAAGCCCGATCCAAGAGAATTGTCGGACGAGGAGGCGACGAGGATGCTCGACAAAATCCTCGAAGAGGACGAAGAGGCTATAAACAAGGACACATCGAACTCTTGTCCACCTCGCGAGGAAGGAGATTATTCCATCAGGGTCTAAAACGCGTTTCCAATCGTTTCTAAAAGATATGATTAGACCCTGCCGGCCGAGATAGCTTGTTCGTTCAGGAATAAAATTGCCGTTGCAATTCAAGAGATTGTTAACGTTTAATTTTTCACGAAGCTGTCAATTCCGCAATGATATCTGCTGCTTCCTCTGCGATACAAATATTCGGAGGAACTTTCATATTTGCAACATAGTAGTGAAAGTCAACGTACAGAAAAAAAACTCAGCCGGGGTCGCGAGACGCCGTTGCAGGATCACACGTCATTCTCGGTGTTATATTTCGCCGGCAGTGATCACGATTTTTATTGGATAATTAATGTTTGCAGAGAGTTTGCGATTGCATGCGAACCGCCGAGAACTCGTCGAGATTCTCGTTGAGGGTGATGGAGGCGATGCGATCGTTGCAGAACGAGGAGGATGCGTTTCTGTCCACGTGCACCGTTGAGGATATAGTCGGTTATATCGAGGCGAATTATCGCGACGACGGTGACCTTTACGCTCAGGTGCGGACCGCGCTGAAACAGGTCTGTTCCCAAGGGTTAGTTCTACGTCAGCCAAAGCGGCGGAATAATAGCACGCGTTGCAGGCGAAAATGTGTCTCGCGTGAGACACGATCGCGTTTCAAGGCAACTGCAAACCGTTTATCTCATTCGAAGACCCCGTGCATCTATCGACCGATTTCCGCCCGCGGTTCACCCTGTTAATTGTAACGCCTTCCTCTGCTGATGCAACAGTGTTACCCTAATGCTCCGTCTTTTCCTTATCCTGAGCCCACGGTTCACGGATCTTGCGCTACTTCCAACGTAACAGTAAAATTGCAGTATTATTAATCGGATTGTACTAAAGTTGACAGTTGCTTCACCGGAATTGTTAGCGAATTGGAACTAGTATCTAAATGTTACGACCATTGTGTTAGGGGGGCCGGAAAGTTACGTCGTTTGTTTACATTAAATTCAAACAGATAAATTTTTAACTAGTTTTTATTTTCAATCAATGATGTAATCACCCTCATTAGATGTGTATAAGAGACAGTGTTACGACCATTGTGTTAGGGGGACCGGAAAGTTACGTCGTTTGTTTACATTAAATTCAAACAGATAAATTTTTAACTAGTTTTTATTTTCAATCAATGATGTAATCACCCTCATTAGATGTGTATAAGAGACAGTGTTACGACCATTGTGTTAGGGGGACCGGAAAGTTACGTCGTTTGTTTACATTAAATTCAAACAGATAAATTTTTAACTAGTTTTTATTTTCAATCAATGATGTAATCACCCTCATTAGATGTGTATAAGAGACAGTGTTACGACCATTGTGTTAGGGGGACCGGAAAGTTACGTCGTTTGTTTACATTAAATTCAAACAGATAAATTTTTAACTAGTTTTTATTTTCAATCAATGATGTAATCACCCTCATTAGATGTGTATAAGAGACAGTGTTACGACCATTGTGTTAGGGGGACCGGAAAGTTACGTCGTTTGTTTACATTAAATTCAAACAGATAAATTTTTAACTAGTTTTTATTTTCAATCAATGATGTAATCACCCTCATTAGATGTGTATAAGAGACAGTGTTACGACCATTGTGTTAGGGGGACCGGAAAGTTACGTCGTTTGTTTACATTAAATTCAAACAGATAAATTTTTAACTAGTTTTTATTTTCAATCAATGATGTAATCACCCTCATTAGATGTGTATAAGAGACAGTGTTACGACCATTGTGTTAGGGGGACCGGAAAGTTACGTCGTTTGTTTACATTAAATTCAAACAGATAAATTTTTAACTAGTTTTTATTTTCAATCAATGATGTAATCACCCTCATTAGATGTGTATAAGAGACAGTGTTACGACCATTGTGTTAGGGGGACCGGAAAGTTACGTCGTTTGTTTACATTAAATTCAAACAGATAAATTTTTAACTAGTTTTTATTTTCAATCAATGATGTAATCACCCTCATTAGATGTGTATAAGAGACAGTGTTACGACCATTGTGTTAGGGGGACCGGAAAGTTACGTCGTTTGTTTACATTAAATTCAAACAGATAAATTTTTAACTAGTTTTTATTTTCAATCAATGATGTAATCACCCTCATTAGATGTGTATAAGAGACAGTGTTACGACCATTGTGTTAGGGGGACCGGAAAGTTACGTCGTTTGTTTACATTAAATTCAAACAGATAAATTTTTAACTAGTTTTTATTTTCAATCAATGATGTAATCACCCTCATTAGATGTGTATAAGAGACAGTGTTACGACCATTGTGTTAGGGGGACCGGAAAGTTACGTCGTTTGTTTACATTAAATTCAAACAGATAAATTTTTAACTAGTTTTTATTTTCAATCAATGATGTAATCACCCTCATTAGATGTGTATAAGAGACAGTGTTACGACCATTGTGTTAGGGGGACCGGAAAGTTACGTCGTTTGTTTACATTAAATTCAAACAGATAAATTTTTAACTAGTTTTTATTTTCAATCAATGATGTAATCACCCTCATTAGATGTGTATAAGAGACAGTGTTACGACCATTGTGTTAGGGGGACCGGAAAGTTACGTCGTTTGTTTACATTAAATTCAAACAGATAAATTTTTAACTAGTTTTTATTTTCAATCAATGATGTAATCACCCTCATTATCAACAACCTTCTTTCATTTAGTATACAAATTTTTAGTATGCAAAAATTAGTATGCAAAAAAGAAGGAATACTGACGTGCGCAGAAACGACATTACTTTCCGGTCCCCCTAATAAAATTGTTTTACAACAGATTCGTGATGGAACTGTTGGAGAATGAGTACCACCTGGTAGGACCGGACGCCATTTCGATGAACAAAGTCACATACTCGAACAAACGTGACGACTGTCTTTTATCCTCAACGCCGAAGGCTCCGCCGAAGCGTCGTCAGAAAGAGGAGGACGATTGTATCTGCGAAGAATCCACTGACGAAGAAACAGCATTGAAGAAAGCACGTCCTAGGTCGTCTTCCAGAAGAGCTCGTCCTAGGCGAACCAGGGTTCTAGATGTAGAAACAGGAGAGGATCGTAGTTACGAAGAAGAGGATGATACTACCGATGATGAGGGTGTAAGGAAAAATTTAATTTAAGGAAAAATATTGTTCCGTGCGTAACGATAGTACAATGATGTAATTAGGATGTACAGAAGTATTCTTTCCTTTCGTTTTAATGAGACCGCTCTCGTTTATATACCTCTTTAATTGTAGGTGAAATTGGATGTCGCCGACAGAACGTATCTCCTTAGTAAAGAGCAAGCGGGATTGCCACATTCGTATTCCCCAGCCAATTTCTTTCGGAGAAGAAGCGCGAGAATTCAAGAACGAAACGGGAATGGAGAAAATAGCAGAGCGAGGATACAGCAAGCGACGATGAAGGACGAAACATCAGGGAATAGAGAGGAAGATGACTCTGTAATCGAAGGATCGGATAGATTTAACGTTGAGCATCGAGAACATCGGAGTCAATTGCGGATAAAGAAAAAGGACGAGCGCGATGAAGAACTCAAACGATGGATAAAACGCTGTCAGGCGGAATGCGTGCGGCAAGGGAAACGGCGGAAGAATAATTAAACGACTAATCAACAATTCTTGCAATATTTTTACTTGTCCACGAACAATTTTCTAAAATTCATTTCTTCCATTAATTGGTTTGGAAATAGATTGTAACGAACGATGCAAAATCATGAGGAAAGGAAAACATTGTGGTCTGTTTCTCAATTTATTTTTCGTTCTTTGTAATTTCATAGATATTTATAATTGGTCATCTTCGGTTAAGGATCGTTCGTCGAACAACAATTTAAGATGATCCGCCATATAGTTCGAAAGATGGTGAAAGTCGAAGGATCCTTCCGGTTTGGTCTGCTGGTATTAGATATCCGGAACTCACGGCCAATGAAAGTGCATCCCGTATGTAATTTCTTGCATCGTTGTACGCTAAACATTATGAACGTATTAGGAACAATTTAGCTGTTAGAAACGCAATTTCTAAGCTCGTACGATCTCCGCAGAAAACAGAAACATTTTGTGTACGAACATTATTTAAAAAAAGAAACAGTAATTTTCACCTGGAACGCGATAGAAATTGCTTTGAAAATATATTATTATTAAATTTTTAAAGAAATATGAAACGTGCATAGACTGTTTGTCTATTTCTACTTAATACCTGCGGTCATACGATCGCGCAAATGTATGCTCCTTTTCCTTTTCTTAGATTTACGAAATTTCTGGCATGCATTGTTGCGTTGCCTCTGAATGCTATTTGAATGCGATACTTTTCTCAAATATTTGTACACAAGTTCGGACACAGTCGATTTCTGGTCCAGTCGTCCAAGATTGTACTCCGTATGTTTCGGCCGCATTCCTAATCTGTTTATCATGAATTAAAATAAAAAGATTCGTCACAAATTATTCAGCTCCTTTCGTCGAGTCTTTTTAATCTTACCAAACTTTCTTTTGCATCGAATTTCTTGATTCCTCAACTTCCGGACAGCTCCTCCTCGACGGAATTCGGAGTTTTTAATTGCGATTCTTTACGGCAAAATACGAAATGAAGGGACTCCTCCTCAACAAATAATATTTATGATTGGTTTATGGTTACTGTGAAGTCATTTTTACAAATTCATTTCTTAAATTTTTCGCTCAAAGTGTCAACGTTTCGTTGTCGTCTTATCAGATTTTATATTGCAAATATTTTGGCAACCAGTGTTTCAAAATTAATATATATATTTGGACTAAAAGAACTTTTAATGATTTTACTCATCGAGCCTATATAATAGATTGCCATAATTACAGCTAGTAACGATTTTTTGTAATTAAGCTTCTTTACGGGCGCAGGCGCACTATCACCATGTAGCGGCAAAACGCTCGAACTAAATGTCCATCATATGCACAATGCAGGATCGCCGAAAAATATTAATTATGGCAAAACTGAGGCACATGAAAATAAACCAAAGGAACAGGATTGTTCAGGAAAAATGACTGCATCGATATCGTATAAAAAAACAAATGATAACATCGCCAAACGTAATTAACTGCTCTTTGAAGTTTGATTAACTATTATGTTAATTAATTATATTTTGTGTTGTTATCGTTTGGTTTTCTTGCATAATATCGATGCAACAGATTCTTCTGAACAGTTCTGTGTCCTTGGTTTACTTTTTGGTTGCCTAATTTTGCCATAATTAATGTTTTAAGAGGCCCTGTATTATGTACAGTGTTGCCATCTAACGATTTAAAAATGATCTACAGTTGGTAATGGGTTTAGCACAGTGGCACCACCTGTCGAAAGAAGTCTTCTGTTTGGTATGAAACAACAGATTCGATTTTTTGGCTTTTTTACCAATAAAAGATAGTAAAGTTGTTGACATCTTATAGTTAAACAGGCAGCTACGCGTAGCGCTGTTAGATTGATGAATGATGACAGTATGTAGTTTACAGCATGGTGGCTGGTGGCATCGTAATTGTCAACACCGATCAATCAAAGAATAATGTCTCACAAGGTATTATTGCGTTGTATTTGAAAGAAATCATTTTAATTTTTTACTTCTCTAGCCGTGAAATAGGCGCGTTATTTACTTTGTACGCACAAGTTGAATTTTTATATCGCGAGGTATTAAAACATAAACTTTAGCGGTCACTATAATTGTCAACCTCGAATCTATTGACGTTTGTTAAAATGTCACGATAATCACATATAAAAACAGTTTTACACATATATCCATTTCATGTATCATAATCATGATTGTTGTTATTATTATATAAAAATATTGTTTAAACTTTTCGAAATCAATTAAAACATTTGAATCCACATTTCAGGGTGCAATTAGAAAGGCTTCGATCACCAAAGATGTGCTACAATCAAACAGTAAGTCCAAATCAAAATCTTTAACATCTCCTAAAGAGTCAGAGAATCCTGAAAAAATTGACTCAAAATCAGAGAAAAAGTCTGAAAGAATGGGAAGCAGCAGCAGGCTTTCAAGATCAATGCAAAATATACAATCGAGTAAAAGTAGTACAAAGCAAACAGTTAGGTCGTCACAAAATAAATCCATAAGGGAAAGTTTGTCTTCTACTGCTAAGTTAAATGTTAGTGCCTCTAAAACATCTGTAACATCTAAAATGGTACCTGATCCTCCGAAAAGATCAAGCAGTAGTACTGTCGTAAAAAGCAGATCATCTACTGGAAGAGTACAGAGTACCTACTCGGAGAAAAGAGGAACGAGTACAATATATATGCCATCATCACATTCGACAAAGCTTAGTTCTAAATCAGTCAGTAAAGATACAAGATCTATACCAAAAGAAGAAGAAAATAAATCAAGGTCTAAGTCCAGACAGCGTAAACTCTCTAGAACATTGAGTCCTAGTGAAATAAAAATGTTGCATTCAGCTACAAGCAGACCGGGTCATATGGTGAGAGATCAAAGTAAGAGGAGATCTCCTAACACTAACACATATCAGACGAGCAATGAAGATGATTATGAGGATGATTTTGAGGTAAGGTACATTAATTAAGTTAAATTCTTCTGGCTGGACATTGTAATAAAAAGAAAACATTTTATAGGACTACGAATCCGATTTTCAAGAGTGCACAGACAGTGAGACGAGCGAAGTTAGCGAGGAAACAAGCACTCATAGTAATTCTCCACTGGATCCCATTGAAATGCATACTGCTAAACAAGTATATACCATCACTTACTCCATTATAGAAGATTATGGAAATCGAAAACGTTTGCTTTAAAATGTTATTTTATTGTAGCATAAAGTTGTGAATAGCGCCGACCAACAGAAAGAGGAAGAGCATATGCATGATTCTGGTCATTATGAACTTACAGAAGCTCGGCAGAGAGCGGCAAGGATAGAATCTATTTCGAGCGATCCCAAGCTATCTTCACTTCTTGAATTAAGGCAACCAGTTAACAAAACTTATAGGTTTGTTCTGAGAAGCATAAAGTTTCAAGAGAATTAAATTGCTTGTATTCTATCATTGTATCATTTAATCATTAAACATTTGCACACTTATTGGATAATCGTTCGTGTAATATTTATTTGATTAATGAAGTAAAGTTTTTGTTTTTACACAGCGAGGACAGATTATGCGAAAATAAATCGTTACCGTTATCCGACGAAGGTTTCGAAGACAGTCGTTCCGGTGATTTTACAAAGTCTCCGCCATTATCGCAAATTTCATTTATTGATTTTCGTAAAACCAAACAGTCTCCAAAAGTGAAGGTAGTATCTATAGTAATATATCAATTGATCTTGACAATAATCTATGGTAATTGTTGCCTTTAGAAGTCAAAAAAAAATATAGGCAGAGGTGAAGAATTGCTGGAAATGATTAAATTAGATGTCATGGAATGGTCTCTGCTAGAGTGTTTGCCTATACCATATGAGGAATTCATTAGAAACTATGGAAAACTGAATACTCAGCAAGTATGTCGATTACTTAATAATAATTATTTTGTTACTTTATTTTTCTACTTACTGTTTTACAGATATCCACGCAAACTGGGGAAGACAACATAGACGTAGAAACGCAAACGGATAAGGCCACATTTCAAAATAAGTGGACTCAATTTCCAATAACTTGTAGAAGCAAGTTGCGAACTAAAAAGGATTTGGATTTGTTTCGTCTGGTTTGTGTTATCATTTATACAGTTTTCTGTTGATAGAACTAAATAATAGTAAAATATTGTAACTTGCAGGATCAACATGGTGTTGGCAATGATATCGACGACCTAGATTCTATAAAATCTTTGTCGTCTCCATCTTTTGATACATTAAGACTTAACGATTTCGTAAATCGAGCTGGAAGAGTGATGTTATCACTGTTGGAAGAAAGGAGATCTGGTGGAAATGTATTCAAAAGCAAGGAAGAAATAGAATTTAGCGACGGTTTTGTCAAACTTTCTGTGGATTCAGTCACGTTTTTGGCTGGCAGAGCAGTGACAATAATTCATTATTCGAATATTTTGAGTAAGATCTTGCTAACCATCCATTCTCCAGTCGAGGAGGTACTAATTAATAATACATATCAACATAAAATTAAAACATAACGTGGCAAGTGGTTAATACAGAATAATTTGGTAAACAGGAAATTGAGACAACTAGCAAGCAAGATTATATAACAGACTGTTGCATTGGATGCGTGTGGAACGTTTCTGAACCATCGATGCCCATTAAGCTATTTTACTCAGCCTGCCCTATTACCGCATGTTCTTTTCACTTAACAAATTATAATGTTGTATTTGCTGGACTGCAGGATGGGTATTTCTCATTTTTACTTGCGTGAAATCATATTTTACATTTTAGTTAAATGAATATTGATTTTACACAACAGATCGATTAGTCTTTGGGATTTGAAGGAAGACGAAATGTGGCATCCAAAAGTTACAGATAAGGCCAATGAGTTGGATTGGACAATTCGAATAGCCACTTACACAACGACAGCGAATACAGAAATAATTACTGATAATTCGCAAATAGTTGCAATACAAATATTATCTAAACTTGAAGAAAAGTCGTACGAAAGACGTAACAATAAATTCGTACCCATTCAGGTTTGTTTAAACTTATTTTCAATGCTGATCGGTAACAACGCTTGAAATATTAATATTTTTGTATTACCTGATATAATAGATATGTAGCTTAAATGAAAAAGGTTCTCTTATTATATGGAGCGTTTTACACAGCATGGGATTAAATATCGATGATTTAGGACTGTCTTATTGGGGTAGTATAAGACTCGTTAGAAGTCAAGAACTGCTTTTACCATGTTATAATATGAAAAAGTAAATATTTTATAACGATCTATATGTACTCGCTTGTATTTATCTTACTAACATCCATTAACTCTTTAGAAGAATCAGTGCAGCTACTTTTATTGATATGCATGTGGATTGTGTTGATAGCAACAATTTCTATATTGCCACTAACAGTAGCAATGTTCTGCATGCTACCTGCATTGGTAACAAAGCTAGTCCTTCTATGTATAAAAAGTTTGATACTAGTAAGTTGTCATGTATACCACTCATGACTTCTAAATAATAAATTATTAATTAATTTGACTTAATGTGTGTTGTAGGTCCATGCGGGAACATAAACTGCATAGAAACATGTCCATTTGAACAGTCATTTTTCTTGGTAAGCGTCATTTTTCTTACATGCACATTCCTCTTTATTGAATGCAAATCATCCTAACACAATTTTGTTTCCATCACAGGTCGGTTGTGACGACGGTACAATTCGATTACATTGTTTGAATATTGAAAAACCAATTTTGCAAGTGAGAGATGAAGATAACACGTACAGTATTAAGTCCCTACGGTGGTCAAAAACAAAACCGTTCACTATTTTCGTGCTGGACAATAATTTGCGGTAATAGCGTTTAACGAAACAGAGACTTTTTTTGACTAATTCAAACAGTATATAATTCGTGCAACTAATAATGTTTTAGGATACACATATGGGATTTAAGTCACAGTGACATATCTCCAAAGCATACAGTAAGCATGCAGAAAGTTGGATCCATTAATAGTATGCAATTGTCACCTTGTAAAACTGAAAAAGATATGAATCATCAGTATTTGGTATGTTCAACTATCTGTATATTACAGTTCTTACGAGTATGGTATACAATAATGTGTATTTTAGGCGTTTGGAACGGAAACCGGAAATGTAGAAATATATAAATTGAAACCAGATTTCTGTAACTCTAAGAAAGAAGATTATTTGCAAGAATTGAATACTTTTATGCGATATGTTGCGATTTTGTAAAGAATCGAAAGAAATGATTATTTTATACTTCCAATGTATATTTATGTTCTGCAAGTAACTAGAGCATATTTACTTGGTATTTAATCCAAGACAATCTTCTGAACACCACATACAAAGTATATTATTGTATTGCAAACTAGAAAAGGTCCTAGGAAATGTATTGATCCGTCCAGTAACAATTTTTAATCCATGATATCAATCTAAGGAACAGAAGCCACGATTTGTACAAAAGTATTATTATTTATTGCACAGTATTCACGTTCTTAAAGATAAATACGTTCATAAATTGTATACAAATCATTGTTTTATAATATAAAGAACTGTTTAAATAATGTGCAATTAATAAAAGATAGATCTCTGTTATTTATTTCACTGAATATTATTTTATTCACAGATTTATTGAATAAAGTTTTTATTGCAATGATAGAATGATGGTAGAATATTTATTATTTAAACATTCAATAATTCCTTTAGAACGTAAACCAAAATGTATATAGAAATAATATAACCATACAGATAACTTGTATTTCTTGAGCCGTTGCAAGTAGATTGTCTTACAAGACGATCAACAATGTCTCTGTAGCTCTGGGTGTGCATTTGATGAACGTCCATTTGTAGGTATTGCGTTTCCGCCTGCAAAAAAAATATCGCATTTGTTTTGAATACCTCATTTTCCGTGTCGTTCTACAAAAATTTATATTGAACTTATAACACGATTGCTATACATTTAAACGATGTGTGACTATTGTTCTTGGATCGATCAGATCCTGGCAAGAATCACAGTTGAATCTACGTTAGAGAAAAAACCTCAAATACATGTGGACCCGGTCATAGTGGTTCATGGGGGAGCCGGAAAAATTCCACGGAAAATTCGTTATCCCATGCTTGTCGAGGTGACGGAAAATGTCTTCCCAAGAATTATTTGTTACTTGAATAAAGCAACATTATAACCGAGAAAATAACTGCTAGCATTTGTTAGGTTAAAAATGCAGCTATCGAGGCATACAAAGATCTTATCGATGGTCGTTCTGCGGTACATTCAGTCGAGAAAGCGATTTCATACATGGAAAGTGTGCCGTATTTCAATTGTGCGAAAGGAGGATCAATGGACGTTAACGACGAGGTCGTTACAGATGCCGCTATAATTACTCCAGAAAACGCTGGGTGCGTGGGTGCTGTCCGAGACATAGAACATCCTATAGCTCTAGGTTTGTCCATCTTTGCTACAACATATCAAAACGTGTAATAGAAACAATCAACCTCGTAGCAAGAATGGTATTGGAGAAGACGGAACATATACTGATCGTTGAAAATGGCGCGCAAAAGTTCGCGCTGGATAACGGAGTACCAATTCTCGCGCCGGGTAGTTTGAATGTCCCAGAATCGTCAATGTTGCTTGATTCGGGCGAAGAAGCTTTTCAACTATGTACAAATCGTGTGAGTCACTCGGAATCGGCCGAAGATGAATGTGAAGGAGCTAAACAGAGAGAATGCGACCCGGACTGCGTTGTTATACGACCGGACGAGGAAGAACAACCTTACCACGATCTCTCGGTTGACTCGGACGATCTGTTGGGCGAACCATTCAATTTGCAGGCATGTTTCATCTCGTCCAGACGTTCCAATAACTAATTAACTATATGAAAAAACACGAATGTAGATTGCTGCTGTCGGCGCTGTCGCGTACGATCGAAAAAGACGGTTAGCAAGCGGCACGTCAACGGCGGGAGACTCTGGCAAGCCGATTGGCTACGTGACCGCAACAGGCACGGTGATTGGCTGCGGAGTGTTCGCGAACGAACATGGCTGCGTTTCCGTTTCTGGGAATGACACTTGCATCTACTGTTACGCGCCAGCACGAAAAATATGTGAAAGATTGCCTCGAGATGCGACCATAAATTATTCTTTGAACACGGAATTGGAGAATCTGCAGATGGAGACCGGCGAATCCCATATAGGTGCCGTTGCGGTGAACGCGAAAGGTGATCCTTCCATCGGATTCAAAAGCATGCACTTCCCTTGGGCCTTTTGCCGTTATGGCTATGTATATTATGGTATTGTACAGAACGAAAGCTTCTCGGAAAAAGTAACCGTACTTGAGCGGCCTTTGGACTGCATGTGTGACACCTCCAGTGGAGATGATGATTAATTTTTTAAAGTATAAACATGTATCAAACACCAATATATATAAATATGACCGATGAAATATAATACACTGATACAACTACATCATCGGTGTTCGTTGTAACTCCACGATGGCGCACTGGGGTCGCACGGAGTAGTGCGAAATTTCAAATTCGAAATTTGGAAGTATACTGATTTTCATTTTACAGTTATGGTTTACGCATTTTCTACGTACCGAAAATATGACACTATTATTCGAGTCGTATGGTCCGTACAAGGAGAACGTTGGTACCTCGCCTTTGTACGTGTTACCAAACAGATCGTTCATTTCCAGCAGCATCGAGTAAATTTCCTCGCGTCGTATGTCCGTTAAGTTTTCGTGTGCAACCACCTGAAATTAAAAATTATTTCATACGTTTCACAATTCTTATTGCATTGAAATATTGACAATTGGAATTACCGCGTTCAGTGGAGACCATGCAAGTGTGCATATGTCTGCTTCATCCGTATCCTTGAAGCACAGGGTGCGGTAGCCACTATTATTTGGATGATCGTCTCGAGAATCCGATCTTAAGTTACCTATGACAATTTTTTATTTTTGGTGGCTTCGGTTATTTCATATTTTTGTATTATTACCGATTTATTTACCGATTTTTTCTTGGACGTTCTTGAGGTTGACGAAGGCCACGTCTCCATTGTCAGTCTCTAAACACCGTAAGGCGCTTAAATCGTTTCCAGCAGTGCCTGTTATAAATTACATCCGACATTTAATTACTGTTGCAGTCACTGTCTTCATGTAATGACTAGATCATTCACTTTGCTTACCTGAAGAATATAAATTACTAGGTATTGTCTCTTGACTGTCAGCCAAGCCAGGCACAACGCCTTCCGCGAAGAAGTTACCAACCGCTTCCAGATCAGAACACTCTGGTCTGCCTCCAGTCATATTCTTCAAAACCGAGAGGAAGGTATACCAGCCTGCAGTTGAAGAATATTTCATTAAAAGTAACATTAACATCAAGCGGCGTTAGAATATTAGACTGACGTTTATATTAGTTATTATTTATTTAGTTGTAACCAGTATTTTTACCGTGTTAAGTAGAGACGCGCAGAGGTGAAAAGGAAGGAAATTGAGCTTATCCTTACCGACATCTCTGTAACCCGTGAAACATGCCTTGGCTCCCCTAAGATCCCTGATGCTCTTGAACCGTGAATCCTGCTTTACTACCGCGGCGATTCGGTCGAACTGATTGGTCTTCTTGGGTACCGCTTGCACGAGCGACTTCAGCCCCATCCTGAAACGGTACTCTAAATCAGTGGTTTTCAAAGTGTGCCTCGAAGAACTTTGGGACCACGCGAGTCTAAGTTTTGAACAAACAAAACGATATTGTTTTCAACGATTCGTTAAAAATATTTGATGCTAAAGATTTTGTGGAAGAATCTTATGAATCGACTTTGAAGACTTAACGGTTCGAAGATCGAAAACAACTGCTCTACATATCGTGGGGTCACCGCTTTCTCAAAGAAGAACGTTCTCCGCTCACTTTCTGGCCTTGTACAGCTCCTCAGGTTGCGCGACGAATATGTCCGCCTGATTGTTCTTAATCGCCGTCAAGCACGCCGCCCTCGACGTCTCCTGTTTGCAAGAGATGGAAGGCTCGACGCCGTAAACGAAGGCGGCATCCCTGAGCCACCTGCACTTCCGGCTCTCTAAGTTCGAGGCTACGCACCATTGCACTCTTCTCGATGGCCGACACTTTGCGCGGTTGTTGGCGCTCATGAAACCGCTAACTGCAATTGTATGCGTCTACTACAATCAGAGCGTGCCGGCGTTAATCAACGCTATTGTTAAAGTACAGCCAATTCGTCTTATAGATCACACATATAATTGCATTTGACACGCTCAATTTAACATATCTTAGGTATCTCGCTGTATACATTTAGTGTACCCTGGCTGTACTTTCTTGCCACTCTACCGATTCGATACAGAATATGCATGAATTAATTACATTTTACTAAGAAGTCTTCTGGCGTTTCTAGGGTATCAATGCTCACCGGCGTCGTCCGGTAGTTTTCCAGCAGGTCATGCAGGACCATGTTCGAATACGGACTTGTGGACGAGGTCATCATCTTCTCGACCTTCTCAGCCACCTCCCTGAAAGAACATATATATGTAACTGCCTAGATAAATACGATAACAAACGTGTCAAGTTCAGCCTTGAATTCCGCGGTTAATTATACTAACGCTCTGGCAACGACGACAGGCCAAGGTCTCGTGATCCACACGCATGGTGCACTCTTCATGGATCTCGTAGTACCATCGAGACAAAGGTAGTTGAAATTCTCCTTATTGATCTGTCCCTCCTATATGATCATACAGTGTCACTGATCCGTAACGAATATGTTAGGTTCGTGAAATTGATCCGCTGTACAGACACGAGGTAACCAAACAAACGATAATATATCGGGTGTCTTGCCCAACTTCGTCGCTTTAGATATCTCTCTAGAAACTCTCTACGTTTACGGAAGCAAACATGATAAGCGAACAATTTTTCTCAAGGTCATCGTCGCCTTCGCGCGATCTTGAGTGTCGGTAAAAAGTGAGACATTTGAAGCCCTTCAATTAGAGAGGACACCCTATTCCATCAATTACCAAATTACAGTTGACGAAACATTAACGGTTTCAGTCTATACAGTTACCTTGAAGTGCTCGAGAGCATCGTCTAATCGGACCCATGCGATATCACCGGCGTTATCAGTGAGACATAATAAAGCACCTTCGCGACCGTGATACTTGTCACTCGAGTAACAGCCCAGAGGATTGTCGCACGCGCCGCATAGGTTCCGGTATTTTGATTCTGCGAGATAAAAAGAAAGTGAAGAAAAGCAAGTGACACTGTGTCAGGATACGCTTACTTAGTTTGTTGTCGAACGCGGTGTCCGCAGACCAGGGGCCGGCGATACAAGCTGCTTCGAAGAAACTTGACAACCCGTAGATCCTGTTCTCCAGTAGCGTCTTCTCAGGATCGCATTCTTTGGTAATTATCCACTTGTCAAAATACTGTAACGAGACACGAATATTATTTACCTTGAAAGACGTTCTTCATCTAAGCGCGTGTACCTATTTACAGTAAATCATGTTTTAATATGTGACAAACGATTTTAGATTCTAGATGCGACTGTGTTGGTAATAGATCATCCAAGCGATATTAACCGTTGAGAAAGCCTTGGTCCAATCGTCGGTGGTGTCGAGTCCAGGGTGGCAAAATCGTTTGCCCTTAATGTTCCATATACTCTTCACATCTTTATTGACTAGAACGACCATTTTGAAGCGTTCCTTTTCTACCAAGAAATGTTAATTGTCCATTTAGACGAACGTAGACAGTGGCATGATCATTAATTGCTATCTTATCAATTACCCATTTGGAATAATCTTAGCTCGTTGGTGACTAGAATGTTGTATTCCCTGTATGCAGATGCAGCGACTAGATCTTCCGGTTCCAAAACAGTTAAATCAGCTGTGTCCGTGGTCAGTCGCCGCAGGCAATTAAATCTGCACAATTTAAATCCCTTAAGTCGAGCTTTGATTGATAGCGATGGATTTCACTCACCTGTCATTTCCAATGACACACTCTATCATGCTCCTCGGTGTGTTCAATTGCGGGCAAAACTGACGTATATTTTTCGCCGTGTGCACGCTTTCCACGACGCATAGTTTCACTGAAAGTTTCGTTTCGCCGCTTTACATCGTAATTCCATTAATCTTGGACCACTCGAGGGGAAATCGCATATTTAACGGATCTAATCGTGTCTGGTGTCGACTATAGTGCATCGGCAAGTTCAATGCTCGAAGAATATCCACTATACGATACGTCGAGACATTTGTGCGTTTAAGTCTGAATCTATACATAGCTGCTTCTGGCTTAGGTCCGCAGCTCCGTATAGAGTACAAGTAACATGTTCGCCAGAAGAATTCAATTAAAAGGTAACGATGATCATTCACGATGTCTAGACTTCCTTAAATTACGTAGACGCAACAATTGTTCTCATAGAATGCTTAATAATTTGATAAATATTTAACATTGTTCCAGTTACGATCAGATCGGAAAGACTTTTAAATACTTTTTAAGGAAAGAATACTAAAACCATTTACTCACATTTTTCAGAGCCGATATGCTGGCTAAACAGCACAAGCAGGATGAAAAGACCGCATAATCGGTCGTTCATTTTCGTCCAGTCCCGCAGCATCCTTATTGAACTCTGAATCTTAACACAACGCTGGGCACAAGGCCTTTATTCATCTCAAACGCTAGGATTTATATTCACGGAGAAAGAGACATCAGTGAGTTCACATTTCCACAAGCACAGCTATCGCTTCATTACTAACGACGAGATAAACGTTTTTTTTAATACGTACACGGCCCCTGTTACGAGCACGCAAATCGGATAACCGGCCTGACTCTCTCCTCTTGCACATATACGCCTCTAATTCACTTCTCGATCCCCAGTAACTGATCAATACAGAAGATACAACTTGTTTCGCCACGAAGGGGGGTCCGTAGGACCGAGACCGCTAGGTAAGCACTCGCTTTCGCCTATCCTTGAAGATCACGTGCGAAGAAAAGGGGGAATTAAAAGGACGAGCATAACCGAACCGGCCGGCCGATCAGACTTAATTTAAGTCTCCGGCAGACCAACACGAATATACCGCAGCCGTCGGCGAACAATCTTTCAATATTTTCGTCGATGCAAAAGCTCCCACGGATTCAACGTGAATATTCAACGACTGGTGGATATTTTGTGAATACACATCGTCACGGTGCACGCGACTATTAATAGAAATTTCTTGTGTCGGTGTCAACAAATACAAATTCTACTGCCGCAGCGAACATTCGCGTTGGTCTCTTTAAAAATCTTGAGATGTGTGCGCAGAAGTTCTTCGCGATAGTATCAATACGCGCGCGAATATTTTGTAAAAATTCTCAGCAATGTACTCGCAATGTATCGGTAAGTGCAAATGAACCGTTATCTCCGTATGTGTCTTACACATACGCGATACTAGTAGCGAACGTGTTGTTAATTTTTGTGAAATGTGGAATTGTGGTTCAACAGTCACACACTAACATACTGTTTCGGCGTACATTTGTAGAGCAGGAGATGACTAATTAACGCGTCATGTACACTACATTGCTGAGAAAATCGGCCGGATGTCTGTCGCCGTGTTGCAGATATTTTGTGTAAAAATCCTCGACTGCCGAGACAACTTTGCTTTCTCGGTTTGTCCCCGGCTCCGTTACCTTCGCATTCAAATTCCCACACACGGCCACAGCGCGCGGCTCGTTTTATTTCTGCGTTTTAAAATAACAAGCAAGGGGACAGAACAGAAGTCGCCGACGAGCTCGAAGGCGGATAACTGGAATGTACGTTGATGGGAAATGGGTCGGCGGATCACGCGAGATCGAGCGACTCGATCACGACTCCCTTGATCACCGGATCCAACCGGTGGCGTCTGGGGGTTACCCGGCGTTCTCTCGACGTTCTCGCTCCCGCACAAGTTCACGGAGACTGAGGACTTCCACAAGTTCATCTGACACAACCAGTGGCTGCTGATGCAGCCGAAAGACCACTAGGTAACCGGAATTAACTTGGTGGGAGGCGACTACGTAATGAACGTGTGCGTGGATGGCCGAGACCGCCGGGAACGGGTTCGAATCTTTTTTGGAGAATCCTTCCATGAGGGGAACTCTCTTATCTAGCGTGAGATGCTCTTAGATCCTTCAGGCTTTCCCAGCGTGAATATGTAAAAAGCCTTTTGTGCACATTTATATTTTAACGGATTCCACGAATTTTCAAGCAAAGAAAAAATCAAAATTGTTTATAACAAGCTTACGATGTGCTCGATTAATCGGGACACTACTTTCTTGTATCCGTTTATACAATTTTCCCATAAATAATCTTGAGCACATTGTGAACTTTTCATTTAATGTTATAACAAGGTTCGCATGGTTTTTGAATGTTTAACACCGATGAATGATATAAATGGAACTCTGATCCGGGGATTTTCAATACAATCATTATGGAACCATTTGAAATATAAATTTATAGAATAGCAATTCATCAGGCAGAATCTCTGCAAAATAAATGGAATGCAGGAAAACATAGTGGCTATAGCAGATACGGTACTCTCCATTTTTCCGCGTACTTTCCGGATGAGTCTACGGTACTCGCCTTCTCACGAAACCGCTCGAATGTGAAATCACGATTTCACGATACTGAAATTATGATTGTCTTGTTTGCGCGGAAGTCATTCTTTCTGTTTTTAGAAGTAGATCTTCCGAAGATTTCTAATATATAGTCTCGAAAATGATCAAGGTACTTACAACTTGGTTTCTCCCATCATTGAATAGAACGATTTTTAACGCTGAAACTACCAGAATGTTTCTCTTTCATAATTGCTAAAAATTTTGTATAAAGTTATTGTGAGAATATTCGAAGATAGAAATGTCGAGAGTTGGCAACGTGCAGCTCGACAACGCGGTGTTTTCTCTTCCAGGAAAAACGGAGGGCACTTAAGGGTGCAGTAAAGAGAGACAATGGATACAATGGCGATAAAACCTCAATTCGAGGTTTTAGTTCTCTTACATCTTTAACACTGTCATTTTGGAGTTATTTCACGGCGCAAACGATTTGTCCTAGATTATTCTCTTGTGGAAAGCTATTAAATAATACTACAAATTACGATAATCTCACTTCTACATATATGACAAATGTTTTCAAGAAATTTCACTTTGGAAATGACAGATTACGATAATCTCACTTCTACATATATGACAAATGTTTTCAAGAAATTTCANTTTCGGCGTACATTTGTAGAGCAGGAGATGACTAATTAACGCGTCATGTACACTACATTGCTGAGAAAATCGGCCGGATGTCTGTCGCCGTGTTGCAGATATTTTGTGTAAAAATCCTCGACTGCCGAGACAACTTTGCTTTCTCGGTTTGTCCCCGGCTCCGTTACCTTCGCATTCAAATTCCCACACACGGCCACAGCGCGCGGCTCGTTTTATTTCTGCGTTTTAAAATAACAAGCAAGGGGACAGAACAGAAGTCGCCGACGAGCTCGAAGGCGGATAACTGGAATGTACGTTGATGGGAAATGGGTCGGCGGATCACGCGAGATCGAGCGACTCGATCACGACTCCCTTGATCACCGGATCCAACCGGTGGCGTCTGGGGGTTACCCGGCGTTCTCTCGACGTTCTCGCTCCCGCACAAGTTCACGGAGACTGAGGACTTCCACAAGTTCATCTGACACAACCAGTGGCTGCTGATGCAGCCGAAAGACCACTAGGTAACCGGAATTAACTTGGTGGGAGGCGACTACGTAATGAACGTGTGCGTGGATGGCCGAGACCGCCGGGAACGGGTTCGAATCTTTTTTGGAGAATCCTTCCATGAGGGGAACTCTCTTATCTAGCGTGAGATGCTCTTAGATCCTTCAGGCTTTCCCAGCGTGAATATGTAAAAAGCCTTTTGTGCACATTTATATTTTAACGGATTCCACGAATTTTCAAGCAAAGAAAAAATCAAAATTGTTTATAACAAGCTTACGATGTGCTCGATTAATCGGGACACTACTTTCTTGTATCCGTTTATACAATTTTCCCATAAATAATCTTGAGCACATTGTGAACTTTTCATTTAATGTTATAACAAGGTTCGCATGGTTTTTGAATGTTTAACACCGATGAATGATATAAATGGAACTCTGATCCGGGGATTTTCAATACAATCATTATGGAACCATTTGAAATATAAATTTATAGAATAGCAATTCATCAGGCAGAATCTCTGCAAAATAAATGGAATGCAGGAAAACATAGTGGCTATAGCAGATACGGTACTCTCCATTTTTCCGCGTACTTTCCGGATGAGTCTACGGTACTCGCCTTCTCACGAAACCGCTCGAATGTGAAATCACGATTTCACGATACTGAAATTATGATTGTCTTGTTTGCGCGGAAGTCATTCTTTCTGTTTTTAGAAGTAGATCTTCCGAAGATTTCTAATATATAGTCTCGAAAATGATCAAGGTACTTACAACTTGGTTTCTCCCATCATTGAATAGAACGATTTTTAACGCTGAAACTACCAGAATGTTTCTCTTTCATAATTGCTAAAAATTTTGTATAAAGTTATTGTGAGAATATTCGAAGATAGAAATGTCGAGAGTTGGCAACGTGCAGCTCGACAACGCGGTGTTTTCTCTTCCAGGAAAAACGGAGGGCACTTAAGGGTGCAGTAAAGAGAGACAATGGATACAATGGCGATAAAACCTCAATTCGAGGTTTTAGTTCTCTTACATCTTTAACACTGTCATTTTGGAGTTATTTCACGGCGCAAACGATTTGTCCTAGATTATTCTCTTGTGGAAAGCTATTAAATAATACTACAAATTACGATAATCTCACTTCTACATATATGACAAATGTTTTCAAGAAATTTCACTTTGGAAATGACATGAAATCTTACAAATTCAAAAATTTAAAAATACTGCTAATACAAAATGTTTAATACATGATATACCGTGCTCATAATGTCAAGTATGTGCCTGTGAGTAATAAAGTTGTTTTTCTGCAGTGTCCTCGCACTTCTTTGCGATGACGTTTCCTTCGTATGTCCTCTCGTTGATGGAATCAAGACTATACAATTTTCACAAACTGGCAGTTGCGAGAATCTTAATTTTACATACGACTTAATTTTGAAATATTATTCAAGCAACGAAATGCTATTTCTTTCATAATGTGTTTAGTATTTAAACACTACTATATGTATCATTGTTAATCGATATCATTAGTACCATAACGAACAAATTACTTAAAATATTATTATGCGAATATAACTCGACACATTGTCAGAAGTTATGCTCGAGCCGAAACATCAATGTTGCACAAAGCAGACGCTTTGTCCATTGAAACCAGCAGCGTATCAAATATGAGATCCTCTGTGTACAAGATAATTTTAATCAGCATTGATAGAGGCGTATACATATATTGCGCATTGTGCTGCTCATATCTGCTATTTAAATTGAATAATATTCGTTAAGCGATACAGATGCGTCGTGTGTCGGTCAGATTCCGATACTTCCACTAATACATAGGTACACATATGTATGCATGCATTTTTCATCTTTCGTATAACGTTGAAAAAATTTAATACTGTAATACATTTAGCAATAGGTATGTGTAGTCGAATCATTATGTCTGAAACTATCTTATTCAATTGATTGCAGGGATGCGGGAGGAATGACCGATAATCTGGATCCGATGCAAGGACGAAGGAATCTTGAAATATACAATATTATGTATCAATAGTACACAGCTTGGTGCAGCTGTACACGAGAAAGTTAACGAACACATATTCACACATATTGTATCCAAAACAGTCCCTCCGACCTCTCGACCCGACTTCCAACGAGCGTTTGCTATAAAAAAACACGTATGTTCATTCCACGTTGTTTTAATATATTCTGACGCAGCAGAGTAAGATTTTGCGCACAGAGAAATGCCATTGTCGAACGATAATGGATGTGCAGAAAACACTCGTTGTTTCAACAATTATCAACAGAGCAAATGTTTCTCTGCAAAAATGACAGCTCGTAACCTGCGTTCGAAGCATAAATCGAACCTCATATACGTCTAAAAATTTCAGACGTCTTCAAAATTTTCTATCGTATGATGTAAACATATTTTTATATCAATAATCTATGTCGTAAGAGCATACTTATGTATGATACAGTATCTCTACTTTTTTTTTGGCACATTATATTTTATCTTGACGAGTTTCAGTCTTCATGAAACTTGAATGTATGTATTTTTATGTAAAAAGCAAACGTATCTTTCGATTTGTTCTACTGTTGCTACATTAATCTACTCTACTGTATCCTTTCATTCCAGAAGACATTCAGACGATTAGTCAAATAGAATTCAATTGGAGCATCTTCGTTCGATATCTCTGTTCTACTTCGGAAAGAGAAAAAATGAAGCTAAATTATAAACAGTTGCCTGTAAAGGCACACTATTTCTTCTTTATGGCAGGTAAATATAACTACATATGATCTAATGATATATTATATATTGCTTTATTGCACTAATTTGTGTTTTTTTGCAGCAATGGGTCCAATTTTGCCATTTTTCCCAGTTTATGGAAAACAGCTTGGGGTATCGCCAGTAGTCATGGGCAGCATTACAGCTGTTTTACCGATTTTATTTTTAATCGCCAAACCAGCTTTTGGATATCTAGTGGATTACTTTGTTTCTTGGAGAAAAACAATTTTTATAATGATACTAGCAACAACAAGCATTTCTTTCATTTGCATGTACTTCTTGCCAGCTCTTCCAGAACCAATTTTGCCAAACCATATGTTTGAAAATATGTCTTGCGCTTCATTGAAACACTGCTCACCAGAGGTACGTTTTATTACATCAAATTTGATTTTCAAATATGTGCTTACAATTTTATATTTATTCAAGGACACCACGCAGCCAGGTTTGTGCATGGGAGCAAAGTATACAACGTGCCATTGGAATTGTACCAACAATAATTTTTCTGTGCTTATACAGTTTGAAGAAATTGAAGGAGAAGTAAGCTTTACTGAGAATAACACATGCCTAACAGACACAAATGCTGTTTCGCATTGTTCTAAAAGTGATAATTGCAAAGTTAGCTGTGATAATTTTAATGATAAGCATTGCCTTTATACTTCCATAACTTTCTGGGGCTTTATTATTTTAATGTCCCTTGGAAACATTGGCTTTAATGTTTGTAATAGTATAAGTGATGCAATTTGTTTTGATGTACTTGGTATGTATTATATAATAATATTTATAACAGAATTAGTTCAATGACTTATACTTCTGTGATGATTTTTAGGGGAAGGCGGACAAATGAGCTACGGTAGACAACGTGTATGGGGAACAATAGGTTTTGGAATTGCCGCTTTTCTGGCCGGTTACGCGGTAGATTATTGGTCCGAGGGAAAAATGATAAAAGTTTACACACCCGCGTTTCTACTAATATTTATTTTCTCGTTTTTTGACATACTTTGCTGTAGGAAATTGAAAGTGAGTATCTGATAAAATATTTTTGAACTGACTCATTTCTGTTTTAAGTTCTTCAAATAAAAGTAATTTATTGAAGATGCCTCTTACAGTTACCAATTATGTCTGGTTCAGGAAATATATTAAAAGATGTCTTTCAACTTTTGAAGTTAAAACCTATAATTATTTTTCTCTGTTTTGCAACAATTGCTGGTATTATAGATAGTTTTATAATTTATTTTTTATTTTGGTAAGTATTTGCATTTTCCAATATCATTCTGAAATTGAATATATGATCTGATTCACGTTATAAATACATTTTCAACAGGTATTTGGAAGACTTGGCTTTAGTAACTGGACATATGAGTGAAATTAAATTGATTGAAGGTTTAATTGTTGCAGCACAAACCCTGGGTGGTGAAGTAATATTCTTTTCTCTGTCTGGTATTGTTTCACATAATATACTTTATACAAACATATATTCCTATGAAATCGTAGGAATATATGTAATCTACGTACATACATATATGTATATATAAATCTTTTTTTTACAGGTAAGATTCTAAAGAAATTGGGGTTTGGATATACATTTACATTTTGTTTCGTATCTTATGCGTTACGACTGGGTTTAATATCATTGGCATCTACACCATGGTGGGTAATTCCTATAGAATTATTTATGCAAGGTCCCACCTATGCTCTGTGTTACACATCAATAGTTGCATATGCAAGTAAGATTGCACCACCTGGAACATCAGCTACTGTTCAGGGTATTGTAGCTGGCATGGATGATGGATTCGGTAAACAAATTTTTTGTTCAACGATTTTTACATGTGTAGTATAACAATTGGTTCATTTCAGGTTTTGCGATTGGTAGTTTGGTAGGTGGCATTTTATACAAACTATTAGGAGGTGTTACAACGTTACGTTTGCTTTCGTCACTTGCTGCAGTGGCTGCATTAATGTACTTCATTTTACATTTGCTGTACCTAAAGCATACAATGCCAGGTATAAATAAAACAAATTTCTATACAGACGAGTTGTATATAGTTTCATTGAACAAACTGTATTCTATTTCTTACAATTTTGTATTATTTTTTGTCATTTATAGAAACAAAAAGCACTGTGGAATGGAAATCGCCTGAGGAAGCGAAGAATGCATGCGTTGCCGCAGAAACGTGACAATAGGAGAGATGTGATCGGGAACTTATTTCCAAAGAAAATGAAATTTTTTATGAATATTTCTAACATACATTAACATGTGCAGATATTATTAATTATGACAAATAACGTAACATGTTGTTTACGTAGTAAATTTCATCATGAAACGTTTTTAAAATAAATGAAACTAACGTTGAAAACGCAAATTTTTATTACGAAGTTAACAAGGAAAGTATAAAAAGCTTAACAATCGAGAATCAAAATCACTTTTATCATATGACAGCATAACTGTAAATTTGTCGGTCTCATAATACGATGGCTTCTGCACGCCTATTGCAAAACAAATCTTTCTTAGTCATCGATGAACGCGGAAAGCTGTCTACATATGACATTTTGCGTAACATTAAACAGCTGTTGTATTCGCGGTCGTCACGTGATTAGTGATGGTTAATACGTCCGAAGTGTATCGATATATGTTAATTTCCAGAATGTCGATACACATGATATCGGGAATAAAATATATCGATACGTGTCATTAAATCAAAATTTATCTACAAGTTAAATATAAATGAAAATCGTGCACTTTTAAAAGAAATTAATAAATAATACAATTATAAAATGTAAAATATTTTATTTATAATGTCAGTGAAAGAATTTAGATAAGAGAGACTTATTTAGAGACTTATGTTTAGCTGACGTTATATCTAATTAATGGATTTCGTTATCATGAACTGCGTATCGATAGTAGAAAATATCGTTACAAAAATAAAACAAAATATCGATATTTGACTTGAAAAATATCGTTTTCACCATCCTTACCATTGCCATCGCTACATACATACACGTGATTGGATTGGATTGACAAAAATGGCAGATGCGTGGCGCTTAGACACTTTGCCGTCTGACGTTTTGATCTTAATTTTCAATTACTGTCATGCATTCGACTTGGTACGACTTAGTGAAGTATGCAAACGATTCTATGATATCGTACAAAGCGATACACTTTGGATCAAGAAAAGCAAACAGCCGGTCGCGACGAATCAAACATCGGAGAAATTTCGCGACAGGTCTGTTAGGTTACAGTTCATCTTCTTTTGTCCTCTCAACTATATTGTAATTTTCATAGAATTCTTATTCATATTTAATGATCCCTCTTTACTTATTTACGTTTATATACCTTATACATCGTGGTATACATTAATTTACAAGACAGTGTCCATATTAATTAATAGATAACTAAAAACCTCCCTCTATGCGTGTAATCAACAAAACACAAATTTGTTGAGTAAAAATATTCTTATGCATTTATGTATAATAAAACAACAAAATAAGATTTTATAATAGTATTCATTTTTTTATCACGAGTATTATTGCTGAATTATAGGTGCAATCCATTACTATGTTTGCGTAAAAAATGGCATGTTACAAACAACTGGCAGTATGGTAGATTTGAGAAGAAAGTCCTTCTGGCGCAGAAAACAAAACTTATGCCATGGATACAATTGACCAAGAATGTTTTATGGTGGAGTGGTGGGAATAAATTATGCGGTTTCAGACGTACACATCGTTTTCCAGAAAACAATCGTATTATAGTTAGTAACAATATTAGGAGTGATATATGCAAATTCATTGTTAGAAAACAATGTATCATCACTGGTCACAGGTACGCAATAGAAATGTCAATAACAAAAATAAGAAGAATATCGTTGTAGTCTTTTAAAACTGAACAATTTTTTCAGAGATGGTAGTATACAGTTTTGGACAAAGTCAAGATGTGATGAAAACGTAAACTTTTATTGTAGTATTCCTAAAGCTCATACATGTGATGTAAATGCAGTGGATGAAACCTGTGATGCAATTGTATCAGGTTCTGGGGATGGAATAGTAAAGGTAATTTTCTCAAATAATATAAACGTAACTCTAATCATCAGTTTTGCAATCCAATATCAAATTATAAATTATTATCTAGATTTGGGGACCTTTAAGAGAGCGAATTTTAAATGTACCTCTGGCTACTTTGAACATTGCAGATAGGGTTTGGTCCCTTGCTGCAGATCCAACGGGTAAAAAGGTTGCTGTGGGTTCGGCTGGAAACAGTGTGAAAACTTCTCTTCATATTTTTGATCTCGAATGGTATGTTACACTTTCCATATAACATAAATGTGTTCTAATAAGTGATTGCTTAATAAACATATATTTTCAGATTCAATAGTGTAATAAAAACATTTTAGTTACAGTGAATCTGATATATTAAAACACAATTGGAGGAGGGGAGCAGGGGTATTAGACATGGTTTGGGACAATCCACAAATTCTGCTCACTTGTGGATATGATACTTACATTCGAAAATGGGACTTGAGGTATAACAACAAATAAATTTTATGCCTTGCTACAAAATTTTGCATTTATGTATATAACATTATTAAATTTTATTGTTTTTCGTTTTCTTTAGGACTGGAACTTGTGTATGTTCATGGGCTGATCCAACGGTTGCAATTGTATATTGTATATCATCAGATTATTACAATACAATGGTTACTGGAACTCAATTCAATAGCAAGGCTGTTCTATGGGATCAAAGACAGAAATACTATTTGCAAGTCAGTAACAGAATATACATACTTCGAATAGTGTTCATCAGATAAAAAATACTTATATTTTTCTCACAGCTCTACTTTATGAACCATAGTAGAATGTCAAGCCCTGTTTATTGTTTGGCTTTTGACAGTGCTCATTTATATGGAGCCACGGATAAACAGTTAGTTGAACTTGCATTCTCGGGTTATTCATACAAACAGACTAATTACAGAGCCATTCTTAGATAGGACTATGGGCAACACAGGTGAGCACGAGTTGAATTGCATAATCGATCGCGCATTGGAAATCTTTAAGAAAGGCTTTGGTATTGTACAAAAATATAGCAGGGTTCGTGAAAATGAGATATTTTACAATATAAAGCATCTGGAAGATTTAGTTCTAAGGTTAAAATGTGAATCACAATGAAACAATTTATAGATATTTTATTATATTAACAAATATTCATTTCCCCTCAGCTCATTTCAAAGACTGTTAGAAAATATTAAACAAATTTGACTTGATCGAAACTTGAACATTATTTACTGTGTAAATCGTAACTAATCGAATTGCTAATACACGACGTTAATCTTCCTTGTATAATATATCAAAGTATAAAACTATTTCCTCTAATAGAATTTGTAATATTCAAAAATAAATATATATTTATCAAACATAAATTCATTGTTATTTCTTTATCCACTAACGTCTCGTAATAAGGATGCGATATCGTATTCGTTCTAATTTACTTCTCTCTTTTACTAAGTATAAAGGATATGGATATACTAAGACATTTTATGCTGCCAGTCCAAACCCAAAGTTAAGTATTGTGTTAAGTAACATTTCTCGATAGAATAATTCAGACTTCATCTGTCGTCTGCTATGCATATCAGAGCATTTTCCTGATCATATAGTTCAAAATACCACCGTGTTTGAAATATGTTAAATCAACCTCAGTGTCAAACCGTACGATTACTTCAAACTTCTTCCCATCGTTTGTCGTAACGATAACCTTCTGGCCAGGCTGAACATCTTCAGGGATGGGAATATCATATAATTCGAGTCCAGTCAATCCTAAGGAATCCGCGTTTTGCCCAGGTAGGTATTCTAACGGAATAATACCCATACCTACCAAATTTGACCTAGAAAATTACAAATATGAAAGCAAAAATTTGTTCAGTCATTTTCTTAAAAATTCTGTATTCTATAATTTAATTAATAATAAGTAATTTAAGTAATAATTTAATTAATATATATATTTTTAAAAAAATGCTTACCTATGTATTCTCTCGTAAGATTCAGCTATAACTGCTCTAATTCCAAGAAGATATGGACCTTTTGCAGCCCAATCCCTAGAAGATCCAGATCCGTACTCTTTACCGACAAGAATGATTAAAGGCTTTTGATCTTTTGCGTATTTCTCAGCGGCATCGAAAACATCCATCTAAAAATTAATTAAGATTTGTATCAATAAACATGTAATTTATCTGGAAATCTATTTAATTCATAAATTTATGACGAACCTCTTCATTAGTAGGAATGTAAATTGTACGTGGTCCAGGTTTGCCGACAAATTTATTCACTAAACGAATGTTGGCAAAAGTGCCTCGAGACATTACTGCGTCGTTACCTCTACGTGATCCGTAAGAATTAAATTCCTTCGGTGTCAACCTAACAATTTAATAATAATGTATAATAAATATTGATGACAATGTCCATTAACTATGAATGAAACGTACCCTCGACCAGCAAGGTATCGCGCTGCTGCAGAATTACGAGCAATACTTCCAGCTGGACTGATGTGATCCGTTGTAACAGAATCGCCGAGATTCAGAAGAACATGTGCTCCTTTTATTGGCTTCATTTTTGGTAATTCCTAAACGTATACAAAACAATTTTAATTAATTTTATGTCAAAATAACATATGTATAATTTCAATAGACCGTCGTTGTAAATCACCTTTTGTAACTCATCAAAATATGGCGGACTCTTAATATACGTGGACTGTAAATCCCATGGATACAGTATGTTCTCAGGCGCTATTAAATTGGCCCAGCTGGAACTGCCTTGCTCTATTTTGCTATAAACCTCTTTAAACATAGCCGGGATCACATTTTTCTGTTCTACTATTTGAATATCCGTTCTGGTGGGCCAAATATCTCGAAGATATATTGGACTGCCGTCCGCTCGGCGACCTGGAAATTTTCAATATCATTCCAAGGCCATACACGTGACTCATACTTTGTTCGGGCGTGTTCGTTTACCTAATGGCTCTTTTTCAAAATCTATGTCCACCGTGCCAACGATGGCGTAAGCAATTACTAACAGCGGTGACGCTAAGTAATTTGCCCTCGTGTGAGGATGAATCCTACCCTCGAAATTACGGTTGCCGGAAAGTACGCCGCAGCACACAAGTCCGTTCTGATTTAATAAAAAAAAAAAAACATTTCAGATTGAACGTAACGAATTCAGTAAAATTAATGTGCGATAGAATTTTTGAAATTCTTACTTTTTCAATGGTTTCTACAATAGCGTCAGGAAGAGGGCCACTATTACCGATACAAGTCGTACACCCATAACCAACATTGTCGAATCCTAACGCCGTCAGGTATGGAGTCACCCCGCTTTCTTTCAGGTAGTAAGTAACTACCCCCGAGCCTGGAGCCAAGGATGTTTTTATGTACGGTGCGACGGTTAAGCCAGCTTCCACCGCGTTTTTTGCCAAAAGACCTAAAATTTTAATAACACCATAAAAATGGTTTCTATGAAATATTCAAGAGATTTGAAATAAAATTGAAGTTTCTATAAATGATATTTTACCTGCTCCAAGCATAACACTGGGATTACTAGTATTAGTACAACTAGTAATAGCGGCAATAACTACGGAACCATGCCTTAGTTTATAATCCTTTCCCTCATACTCGAACATACCTACGGAGTCCACCTTTTTAGGGCTTAAGCCGTATCCCTTGAATCCTACCTTGAAACGAAAGTATATACATTGTCTTAGATAAATACAGTCAGCTTTATCATACTTTTCGATTTCCCGTGAAATGAAAAACTTTGTTCTTTAAAAATCGTGTTATTTGCATAAACGAGTAGACAATATTTCACACATACTTTCAAGCATAAAAGATTTTTTCACGCGTCGTACACCTAAATTCTTTCGTGAGCAGAAAGTTTCTTGACCCAGCAGTGTCAACGACCATTTTACATACATCTCATTGTCCAATAAGTGATTCGCTGAGGATGCACTATTGTGCATGAAACCAGCAGTTTCTAGCTTATTTCAACATACGTCACTCAAAGCGCAAAAACAATGGAATCTTTGCAACGCTTTTTGTACAGATTTTAATTCATGCATTTACAATAGTAACAGTTTATTTTAAAAAATCTTATTAGAAATATTCAAAAATATTCCAGTAAATATTTTGAAAACGTGGAAAAATCGGGAATCGGTATTTCTCCAGAAGATCTCGCTGGGAGGTCATTGCAGGTATGTACTTTGGACGGTACCTCAAATTTCTAAAGCCTACCCCTTAGCCTACAGGCATTGTTTTGGACAGTTAAAACCGTCGACGTCACCGACCCGTCATTTCCTCGTGATGAGGGTTGCTTTCGCTATTTCTGCAGGCATCGAGTACTGTTATTTGCTCATTTTTTTTAATTTCAAGATAACAACTATAAATAGAGGATGCTATGCCTCGAAGACATTTACCATCACAATAATTTGAGATTTTCAAAAGTATGTACATATACATATATGTATGTATCATGAATGAAAATTGTAATTTACAATTTGTAAAGAATGATCGTACAGAATTCGCGAACGAAAAATACTCGGAACGATATGGTAATGCGATAGCAATACCGATCGTTGCAATACGAAACAGGAGAAATAGCTCTGTTCGTAAAGTAACAGTTTGCAACAAAATCTGTGGAGGTTTGCAAAACGAACAGCTGTCATATCAGCAATTTCAAGCGAGGTCAGACGACGTTCGTGGCTAGATCGAAGTCAGTCGCTCGCTTTCTTCGTGAAATTCAGGATCGATCGATCGTTGGCAAGTATGTAAAACTGCTTCATTTCCGTAATCCATGATCAATAACTTCCCATTCCATTGACGGCTCACAAAATATTTTCTTCCCTTTCAATCATTTCAATTTAACAAATGGATTATTAATTAAATTTATCTGAATTTAGACTACGACCATTAAGTGTACAAGTTTTTTAGATCCTTTGTACGAATATTTTATGAAGTAAAAAAATGATGGATGCATTTTTTAAAACAAAATTAATCGATTTCATTTTCATATGCTTATACATTTTATTATGCAATTTTTATTATTTTTTGCATAAAAAATATTTAACGAATTTAATATTTTGTAAGAATGCCAACAGAGAGTTGGTCTATTCTCAACATTAAACAACAACTTTAGTCTTCATTCGTGCAGCATATTATATATAGTTATTATATTATATATAGCCATAACTATACAGTTATATTCGTATAGCACAGTAACGTGATTCCGATGTTGAACATCTTTCAATAGAAATCGATCGATCCCTTGTTTTTAAAATCGTCCCGTTCATTGTTGCTTCATCACGTTCTCACGACTTTTGTTTCCAATATGATTGAACGCGTCGCAGTTCTTCTTCATGAAGTATAATAACCTTTGTACAATTTTCACAAATCTCTATTCATTCTACGTCATTTTAATAGATTTTACAGACATGTAGTTCATGCCCAGCATTTATGTTATTAAACCTACATATTTTGTATGCTTTACTATATATTGTATATACTTTAAATAATCACGTCCTAAACAAAATAGAAATACAATTAATATTTTGCAACCTAATATTTTGCGCATGAACATTGCATGCTAGAATTTAAATTGAAAAACGGATATATTTAAACGGATACTGTCACTGCAACCATTGCAAAACGACAACGGCAGCAACCTTGGTTGAGCCATGGGGGGTCCTTTTCTACCTGAGATGTATCAACTAGGTTTAGGAACCTCGTAAAACGTCACTGGATAGAGGCCCATCCCGTAGGGACAGAGGTCTGTCCCGTCAAGTACTTATGCGGTACTTGAGCGAAGGGTGGGGGCGGCCAGGGTATGTATAAATGCGGCCTGACGAACGAGGAAGATCATCAGTGTGCAATTACCAGTGCTGCGAGTGAACACGGCCCTTACAATGTGAGTTACGCGTAGTTTAATTCGTTTGAATAACTGTATTTCCTATCTGTATTAATCAACTGTTGTCTATTAGTAGTCTAGGATATTTTCTATAAACGCATCAACTACATTCTGCAATACACAATTTGATCAAGGAACTCTGACAAAGAAGACATCGGTAGTGCTGTCGGATGGAATTTTGCTCAGTGCGGTTGCATTCAATAACTCCTCACCGGGTGGGATTCCATCCAATGTCTGCCTCTAATCATCAGAACAGATACAACAGTTTACTCCTATCTTACCATCATGGACGAAGTATTCGTCTAGTGAAACGCTGGGATGAAGTCGTGACTAGATCGAAATACTCGTCCATGATAGTAAGTCTGATCATCGTGGATTTTGCGGCTTCGACATCTCCCTAAACGTCCCGTTTATTTTTCTTTGGTGATCTAACTGTATGGTGAATTGAGAGACCATAAAGCTAGATCAGCAAGGCAAAATGCACGTGACATATCCTCGTGCCGACCAGCTTCGTTGAGAAGGTAAAATCTTTCCTTTTTCATTCTTTCAACAATAGGACAGCGACACACACGCTTTGAATGCATGTACAGCAATCGCTTCGAAATGGAAAAATCCGCTGTAACTATCGCTGTGATGTGTCATCAGCTAGGACTCATATCACAGCAGTAGTTACTTGGGATTCTTTCGTTTTCTACCATCGCTAACTGGAAGCACCTCGACACGCTTAGGACTCTGCACCGCCTATGGCTGGAAGTACAACATGAGATAAACCTGATCCAGTGTGACGGTAATAATTGAACGTCACTGGGTTATGTTTGTCCCATATGAGTACTGACTTATCTTCAGCCAGCTTTACACCCTCATATATATTGTCTATGTATCATTGCTAACACTACAGTATCAAAACGGTTTCCATACTAAAAACTGCGGCGGATTTAAATTTTTACCTTGTTAGTCAAACAATTCCTGAAGTCTGTCTTCATATCCGTCACGGAGACGCGATCGTGAGGCCTTTTAGGACCGCTGACACTGGAAACGACAGTTCCTAGATCCAGTGTGACTACTTCGGAAAAGATGGGGTTTTCGTTTTCATCGTCGAAATTTCTCAACATTCGTATAGTGGTAAGATATTTCTCAATTCTTTGAATATGATCTTCGGATCTTCCTATCAAAAAGGAATACGAATAAGTTTGTAACAATCATACAATTATACAGCTTTGTTTCCTAAACAGATTTACTAGATCTACCTGTTTGTCTCAGATATGCTAAACTTTGCTGATCAACTGGGAAGAATCCAACTGTAGCACCATATTCCGGGCACATGTTTGATATCGTAGCTCGATCTGCAATACTTAGTTGAGATACACCAGGACCGAAGAATTCTACGAATTTTCCAACAACTCCAATTTGACGTAGATTCTACAAGTAGATAGAAATACTATTCTACAAACCATATACTGTCTACAGCACACTCGTAGCAAGATACTTGTATTTTATGTTTTTACCTTTGTAATTGTAAGAACAAGATCGGTTGAAGTAGCATATTGATTCAGAACTCCCTCTAATCTATAGCCTACAACTTTCGGTACTAACATAGATATTGCTTGCCCTAACATAACAGCTTCAGCTTCAATACCGCCTACACCCCAACCAAGTACACCAAGACCATTTATCATAGTTGTATGCGAATCTGTCCCAACTACACTGTCAGGGTACAGCAAATTATCTATGTTGAATACAACTCTGGCTAAATATTCTAAATTGACTTGATGCACTATTCCACTTCCTGGTGGAACAATCAACATATTTTTGAATGCTTTGGCACCCCATTTTAAAAACATAAACCGTTCTTTGTTTCTTTCGAATTCAAGATCCTCGTTTTTTTTCAAAGCATCAGGGCTAAAAAAAGGATGATATCATTATCAAAACTATTATCTTCCTTGTTTACTGTAGCCACTATCAGTGTTTCAAATGTCGAATTATTATCGTTTCACTCATTATAATTAGAACATTTGTAACCTTATTACATAATATCGTTATATTATGACGAAATAACAAAACTTCATATCTTCTATAATTCGATAAGTGTTTCCCATGCTTCACCTCGGTTGGAAAATATATTATAACGAGTATATAATACCTTCTAATGTAATCAACTTGTATCGAATGATCAATAACAAGATCTGATGGACAAATCGGATTTATCTTATCTGGATCAGCACCTAATCTTTTAACAGCATCTCTCATAGCTGCAAAATCCACCACTGCAGGCACTCCCGTAAAATCCTAATTACAGATATTAAAAAATTTAATTAATACATCTCATACAATTTATTATATGTCTTCATATACCTGTAATATCACCCTGGCTGGTTTAAAAGCTATTTCTGCCCCATTATCTAGAGCTTGAATTGTTTCCCAATCTAAGATTTTGTCAACATCATCTGTTTTTACTTGAAAATTATCACAATTCCTTATTGCACTTTCTAGAAGAACTCTGATGGAGTACGGTAACCTGTCTACAGAGACAAACCATTTGTATAAATTGATTATAATTCTTGTGATACTAAATAATGCAACAGATCATTTCCATGCACATACCATATTTCTTTCCAAAGCTGCTGATGTCATAGTATTTGTAATCTTTGGATTCGATGGTAATAGACTTAAGCAGATGATTATATGGATTGTCTCCTAAAAATACAGAAAGTATG